TCACAGGTACTTGTGGACAGGACCCCCCCCCCCAATATACACCCCTGGTCAAAATATTTTTTAAATTTTTTTTCTCGTGAATTATGTTTCTAGTACTTATTTACAATGTATTCCATATGAAAAACCCAAAAAATATCATAGATTTAACGATTTACCAAAAAAGTCACACCCTTGTATTATAAAGCTCTATTTTATAATACCAGGGTATGACTTTTTTGATAAATCGTTAAATCTATGTTTTTTGGGTTTTTTTTCATATGGAATACATTGTAAATAAGTACTAGAAACATAATTCACGAGAAAAAAAATTTAAAAAATATTTTGACCAGGGGTGTATATTGGGGGGGGGGGGGGGGGGGGGGGGGGATCCTGTCCACAAGTACCTGTGTATTCTTTACACACAATATCTGCAGATCTGTGGCGTTATGGTTTTTTTTTATATATTTGTCTTTTACCATGTGTCAAAGACACATATGTAAAACCATAGCGCTACAGATCCGCAGCTACACACACACAAGTGCCCAAGAACTTTTTCCCATTATTAATGTAAAAAATATTCATACCATGTTCTATACCAGTCATCGCAGCACCCTAACCAGAGGGTTTACATGTACATCTAGATACGGATGAAAGACAGCATTATATGTATATTCTGAAAATGGGAAATATGTCTACATATCCGGGGGGACTATATATGTAGGTAAGTGTAAATATATACACATTTTGTTTTTTTTTAATAGTCATTTGAAGGTTTATTTTACTTTTCTAAAAAGGTAAGTCTTGTTTATTTTTATCACCTGGGTGTTAGTGGCAAACATAGAAAATATATAACAACTGCTCATCTTCGGTCTTTGTTTGCGTAGTACTTAACAGTTTTATATCACATACCTCAAACTTGAAATATATGACTGCATGATAACAAAAATACACTCTTATATATAGAATGCACTGCAACTTTGTCAGTGACTAAATATGGATGCACCCCTTTATTAACTACATGTAATTTGTGCCCCCCTCTCCGCATTCAGGATTACTCGCAGTGAAAATATTCATCTTTGATTTTGGATGGATTTTTAAATTTGCACTGTCTACTAACTTTAAAATTATAACCTTTCCATTGCAAGTTACTACATGTATTCGGTATATGGAAGCTATATTGTTGTCGTTCAGTGACAAAAAAAATTAAAAAAATAAATGAAGAAAATTGCAAATATATCAGCACCGGCTGCACAATTATACATTCAAAAGTTTTTTGTTTTTTTTTTGGACATGCACAGAAATTATACAAGTAAATGAACGAATTCGATTTTATATATTTGGTCGGCAAGTTGTGGACCAGGGTAAATGAAATCGATCATCTAGACCAGTGGTCATGGGAATCTTCATTATTTCCGGCGGGTTTTACGGTTTATTGTTCACGTTCCTTTGACTGAAAGAACATTAGAATCCTGAAATGGACCATTTAAAAAAATCAAACACACAAACATTTAGATAATGTCGCGGGCACTTTGCTAGGACAAGACTCAGTATTAAGTTTAAACGGACACTTCGCGTACATTAAACAACACCCTTTTAAACTTTTACTTGATCATTGGATTACTTACATGGATGTTAAAAAAAAAATACACAATAAAATTTGTTAGAATCAATTTTTTCATGTCATATCTTGATTTAACAATTCAGTGATTCAGTAAATTCTTTCTCTATCCAATATTTGAATGTGAAGCTTTGTACCCTGCTGATAGTAAAAATTACCAACGTAAATCCACGCAAAAATCTAAATTCGTTTAGAGAAAAAGGGTTCTGTATTTCATAATCGTTAATATGAAATTACTTGAACGTTCTATTTACTTTTTGTAAAATTAAATCAAAAGACGAATACATTGATATTTTTCGGTTATTATTTTTTTTTACAATAGCATCACAAAGCAAAGCATTTCCTTAAAATATTTTTGCATTAAAATATTTCCTCTCGGAATAAATACATGTAGATAAATTGGTGACTGCGTTCATGGTAGGATTTCATTTGTCATACCGGCGTACGCCGAATGCGCCGCTTGACCTTTCGTAACCTGGCTTGTTACTTCATTTGACCGGGGAAGGTTCGCCGGCGTACGCCGAATGCGCCGGTCTGAAATGACCGGCGAGGAAATCGCCGGTCTTGGAAATATGGCGGGAAGAGAAAACAACTGTGAAAATGCAGATACTTTTTACCAAATCGACATGTTCTTTATTTGTTTGCATATTTTGAGCAAATCTCTATTCAAATGTTTAAAAAATGTTTTTATTCTCTGAAAAATAAAAATTTTTTTTTGGTTTTTTTTAAAATTGAATTTCGAATTATTCTACTAAAACATAATGTAAAAAGTGATAAAACTCAATTAATTGATTATCATTTAGCGTAATTATTCATTTTTTAAAAATGTTTTCGCCGGTTTACTTCAAAGCCGTTTTACGCCGGTCATATGACCGGCGCAATTCGGCGTACGCCGATCAGTGACAAATGAAACTGGCCCCATGTCATATTTTCATGTAATATTATATAAATATTGCATGTAATTGAGTGTAACATTGAAAATTTTCACCCCAAGAAAACCATTGTCAACCGAGGCGCAGCCGAGGTTGACAATGGTTTTCGAGAGGTGAAAATTTTCAATGTTACACTCAACAACATGCAATATTTATTATATTATACTGAATGTTTTATACAAATACATACACATGTAACAGTGAACCGTGCGCGCATAAATTCTGCGCAGTCGCTATTTTTTGGAATATCACCCGTCGTCAAGCAATGTTGACTGTTGCTACGCTGGAGGGCGTGGCTTCACTATTCAGCGGGTAATAGTGTTTTTTAACAAATGTTTCTCGACCAGTCAGATTCAACTAATTTACATGAAAGTATAATATAAATTCTTATTGAGGATCCTTTGACCGATAGTTCACAACCTTGTTATAATAAGGATGAATAATTTTAAAGTAAGCCAGCACTACTTAAGGGTATAAAGAGAAACTAATCCTTTTTCTTTTTCTTTTTCTTTTCTGTGTGTATGGATGAAATAAATAGGTATACGGATATGTTTCAGTTGAAATGTTCAATCTAATTAAAATTAGATGTCCCGAATCCGCTACCGCTAGCGAATTCGGAACATCTAATTTTAATTAGATTGTTGAAATGTTCAACTGACAGTTTTCATTCATTCATATTTTTCATGGAGAGCTAAAGCCCTTAAAACTCTTCTTTAACTAATAAACTACCTATCAGGCTATTTCGTGATCCAAGGACCTGTACAATGTATTTCACAACAAAGCTTTAAGCTTTGCTGTGAAGTACAGGTCCTGTAATACATGTGCACTTATCAATATCTTTGACTTGATCCTTACTGTCAAGTTCAATCATGTATTTATCAAAAACTTGTACTCCAGCATGTTAGAGGTTCATGGTGAGATACTTTTGACTTGGTGTCGCGGTATATAAGGTGGGTAGGGACATTAACCGAGGCTCTTACTTGTTTAAACAATAAAATGCTTTCTTTGTTTGTTATTACTGGAATTAACGGAAGCAGCTGTTGCAGAAAAAATACATAACCCGCGTAAGAAATCAAGAAATCTGTACCGGCGACATGCCTAATGTAGTTCATGCAGTGATTAACGCAATGGGTTTTCTTAAGAAATGAAGGAGAAAATATTCAGTGGATGTAAATATAAGAGCAGTGAACCTGGTGCTTTACCTATCTTTGCCACAAAACTTTTAATAAAAAAATCTATTTGACCTTGACATTTGTTATTTGACCTTTGGATGAATATCTATATTTTGCAGTCTTCCTGATTGAGACTCTATTTCGCCACACTGTTAAAGACTCACAGTAAGCAAGCATTTATCTGATCACTTACTACTTCTGTAGCAACGTTTCATAGCACATTAATTGTTAATGGTCAAACTGCATTTTTCATACCGTGTACATATCGTTTGTTGAAAAAGACACTGTTAAATAAGATCAACTTTTCTATGGACATTTTCGTTTACAAGATCATGACGTTGAGTGTGACTGGTCGTCAGGGGATGCCTACCCCTCCATGGCACATGATCCCATATCTGAGGCTTTTAAAGGTCCGTGTTTGCTCGTCACGTACTAATTCTTTAGTAATGCTAACAGTGAAAAGAGAAATAGAGCTTAACATATATATATATCGTATCCAGAATATATATTTAGGGATGCATGTATATGCACCATTTCCTTCGGTTTGCAACTTTGTTTCAAATTTCTGTAAATATTGCAAGTGTTATCACATTGAACTTTTCCTTATTCATTTTCCCTAGATTTACATTTAATATTTCACATTGGATTTTTTTTTTTTTGGGGGGGGGGGGTATATGTTTGTTTTCCATTTCAGTGACCAACATTGAATTGCATTGGTCATTCAAGTTATATGAATTAGGCTAATCTTTATCAATTTCATCGTCGTAAATCCACGGTTGGTCACGCCTCTCTTACCTCGGTAAAAGAGAAGCCAGACCGACCGTGGGTTAACCTAGTATCCAAGCCCAAGGAAATTATTTCCATTTCTATTGAAAGATTTCATTCAAGCGTAAAAACATGCATCCACATCTTGAACTAAACAAAATAAACTATCTATAATTTAAGTACTGTAGACATGTTTTTTAATGTGATGTGATTCCAAAATTGCTGCATCAGCATATCTAACTAATCATCATTAAAATTAAACACAAGAACTTCAGATCCGCCAACTCAATCTGGATTATTAGGTTCTATACACACGGTGAAACAGGATGAAATGAATGATTTCATCCCTGTCTATACCTCAATCGATTTTCATCCCCAAACAGTTATATCCGTCGCAAGCTTATCGATTGATCTGCACTGGTTATGCGTCCAAAGAAATTCAGGTATGTTTATTCTCTCTGCAGACATTTGAGAATCATAAAGGGGTATGTGACACTGGCACCCGAATGGAATTCCATTCGGAATCTCTTAGCAGACGTCTTGTGAAAAATGGAGTCCTTGGGCTTAGGGATAGTGACAGTATACGTGTAACCCTTTAAAAAATTCTTTGTCCTGCTGGGACATTGTTAGGGTAACTTAATTATGAAAACAAGATATTTATCTTGTAAAGTACGGATTACACAAATCGAGACTGAACCTTTCAGGTAAGTAGAAAAATAAATGATCTAATGCATTGTATACAAACTGTATACGAGTATGGCTATTAAATTACTATCATATATTGGGCAATAGGAATGAAAATCTATTTCTAAGGACCTGTATATAGTATATACTAGATCCTGCTATTTCTAATTATAGAATTGTTAAACTTCATTCCTGACTACACAGTAAGATTGTCGTCCACAATATGCAATTTAATGCTAAATTATATGATTTACACTGAAATGCAAGTATACACGACTCTTAATTTTTTTACTTTAAAAAGGGAAACACCAGTCACTACGTATGCTATTTCCCACACCTTCTTTCTTCCCTTGGGCTTCAGGAATTGGCAAATAAACGAACTGAATATAACATTGCAAGTATGTCGGAATAATTGTGTGCATGATTATGACCACACAATGCCCAGAACGCCTTCCAATACACGTAATTAGTAACAGATATATTTAAATTGTTTGCTATTACTGACTTAATTAACATTGACATGCTTAGAATGACATTATAACTCCTTGTACGTGTACATTATGTATTTAGTTACCCTTGTATATTATTTCCTGCAGTATTGTCAAAGTTTTATGATTTAAAAAAAAAAACTGCATCTGGTTTATAAATTGGCATTAGGTCATATCTCAACATGCTAAAAGTTCAAAAACACAGAAATAAAATGCCAGTCAAACTTTTTAAAATTAAAAATAATTTGTTCTGGAGTAAAACTGAAGTTCTTTCTGTTAAGAAATTTAAGATAACCATGATGTTATGTTATATACATGTAGTATAGAGACTTCATAGTCCCATGGTTTTGTGTCCATCCAATTTCCACAAACCTGATTGGCTTGCACTGATGAGTATACTTCTTTAAGCTGAACTTTTAAGCTGAATTTCTCAGTAATTAGCTGGGAATTACCCTAACTTCAGATCTTTGGCTCAATGGTCTGAAAAATTGTGATGACAACCACAAAGTTGCAGTGACACTTATTTGATGAATGTAAAAAATATCTTTTTATTGCATACAAAAAAAAATTGTTTCTCAATTTATTTCTCTGTAACTCTGTGTTCCTTATAAGCATATCCCTTTACTACTGCATTAAAACATTCCTTTAACATGACTGTTTAAACCATACAGCCTCCTGAAATTGAGACCAAAGAAAATTGTGCCTATTTATATTGCCTGTTGGGAAAGCAATTCTGGCATTTCATGGAACACTTCTACATATAGTTTTGTTGTGGAAGTGTAATGCTGTTGCACACTGCTTGTTGTTGAAGGTCCTTCCTAAGAAGTTTTACTCATATGTAAAAACCACCAATGCCAGTAAAGGGCAGCATATTATTTTGACCTATACTCGGCTCTCAGGGCCATATCTTTCCTTCCTGCCAACACCTTCTTTGACTTTGGACCTCTGTTTGTTCATAATCTCATCAAATAGGCTGACTGGCCCTTATGTCTAGCGTTGGATTCAACCTTCTTACTCTGTGAATCAAGAGCAAATGCTCAAACCACTCGGTCAAGCAGGCAACTTTGTGGTAGTATTAAAACATATAGAGAAATAAATCAAGAAACATCACACTTTTTATGCCCAATAAATATTTTTAATGGGTGTGCCATGGCACTGTAGTTCTCTGGTTTTCTTTCCAATTCTTTTTTTCAATCCATTGCAGCATAACAGTTTAGGAGCCAGGTAGTGCCCATGCTAAATCTCAAAAAATGTGTCAGATTTTGTGCTTTAGATTTTTGCATTTCAATTTCAATATCAAATATAAATGTGAATGGAATATTTCTACATTTATCACATTCTTCAGAAAAATGTCTAAATCAGGAAATTCTGTAATTTGCGGGATTTGTACATAATAGCCCTCTTAAGGAATGGTAAATCAGAAAATCGTATCGTTTCCATAGACACTAGTATTAAATAAGGGAATAGATTTCCTTCTCTAGGATATGACGTGGAAATACAATTTTAATTTCATCAGCCTTTTTAAATCGATATGTATTTGTAATGGTGGTTAACTGCAGTTGCAGTCAGAGATTCATCAAGTTGTTCATAAATCATAATTATTTGATAGTAAAAGTGATCATGTGGTATCAAGTTTTAGGATGCTGTATTAAAATCTGTCAGTTGGAGTTTAATAAGGCCAATTTTTTCATTGGTCATTTTTCAATTTTGTGAAGTTATTTCTTACTATTTATTTGAAAGTTAAAAAGTGGTCAAATTGATCCATTGGTAGCTCTACACTTGATAAGTGATTACAGGGACCCAGGTTTGAACCATGGTCTGGACCATAGTAGGACAATTTCAAGTTTAGCTTGGACTTTCAGTAAGGCATGGCATTCTCGACGTTACATTATTAGATTCTGAAATATACACAGCTTTCCTTCACTGTTGAAATATACATGGGATAGAAATTCGGGCAAATGCCAATAAGTGTATTGAATAACCAATATCATTGTCTCATCCAGCAAAGAGGTGGAGCTTAAGTCGTCTCATCATTGTCAACAACAATTTAAAGTTCCTGATGTTATTAATTTCTTAACCAATGAGAATCTATTAGCCATTTGACAGACACTAATTACGTAGCGCCAAGAATGCCATGCCTTACTGAAAGTCCAAACTTACCTGGAAATGGTTCTATTTTTCACTCTGTTTACTTACATCTGGTGCCTTGCCATGCTTTGGAAGTGACATGTGAAAGATCTGCCAGGGAAGACTGGGTTGTTGACTTTGTGGGCAATTGCTGGGTTTAAAAGATCAATTTTTTGTACATTACTGCATTGTTACAACCCCCGCTTGAAAAGTGGGAATAAATAGGCAAATGGTATATACTTTGATAAATTTGAGACTGTATTGGAAACTTCAAATTAATATGCAGTACTGTAAAAGCACAAATATTCGTGGGGGATTAAATTTCGTTTATTTCGTTGTTAACAAAATTCAACGAACTTAAATCCCACACGAAATTTTATCTGACTATATATTGAATAGGGTTAGTTTTAAAACCGAAATTAAATGCACACGAAATTATTTTTGATGACAAAACAACGAAATTTTATGCCCACGAAAATTTGTGCTTCTACAGTATATGAATGTGTATTGATTTTGGAGGGTGCATGTTTGTACAAAAAGTTCTTTTCAACATACGTACATTTTCAGTAGAGAATGTGAATTCCTTCCTATTTTTCTCATTTAAAATATAAATGTTTTACATGCACTTCTTAATGATGATAGCAATCAATGTAATACTCTTGATGAAATGTGTCTATCACAGTGACACATCTATCAGATACACAGCTGAGAATTTACCGATATTGATGATGCATGCTTCATAAATACTCCTGATCAATGATTTTGATGAGATTATATCCGTCAACTCAACTTTCCAGTGATTATACTACTGAGTGAAATTTAACGAACAAAAAACTTTCACAGAATCTTTATTACATAGATCCACACATTGCCATTGTGCACCTGCTTTTCTATTTTACTTTTTAATCTGACTGGGGTATATTTTGGATTTTCCATAACAAAACATGGACATTCAAAGATTTAATGCTATATGATATTCATATGGGGCCATAAAAATTTACAATTTTGGGAGGCATTCTTGTTCATCATAACTATGTACGTTAGTTTATTTAATACTTTGGAGCAGAGAAGAAGATTTTCAAAGAATCATGCTCACAGTACATATCTATGTACTTGGTTAGTTTATTTAATAAAGAGCAGAGAAGAAGATTTTCAAAGAAATAAATGTGCACATGGCAACAATTTTGGAGGGTCAGTGCTGATTACAATCACCACTTAATGAAGAGATATCATTAATTTAAGTGGTTTTGGTAGAGGACATGAAATTCACAATTTGTGATTCAGGGATCTGGCCAAATTTTTGAAATTTTGAAGCTGCAAAATTCTGGCATCACAATTCTTTGTACATTACTGCATTGTTACAACTTAAAAAGGAAGAACTATAATTTCTACAAAAAATTCAGCTTTATTAAGAGTTACTAGTGATTGAATAAATATGTTTTTAGCAAATGTTATCAGATATATATTCATAGTTATTATATTTTATGGAATTACAATGAGTGTTACTGTGAAGCACATTGATTTCATGGCTGGTGACTGGAATAAAAATGGACAAGTCCAGGGTACTTTTATATGTTGGGAGAGATTGTCAAGTTTATACAGTTACAGACATATGACAGGCCAGCATTCCTAACCCTGGCCACCATTCCAAAATTTTCATAGAACAGTGTGACTGCATAGTCATACATAAAGTCATTGAAAGCAGTCCATTAAACTAACAAAAAGTAGTGCATATACTCAAATTGTTTACATAAATGTAGACTCCTGTAATTATACCCCCCGCTTGAAAAGTGGGAGGTTAAAGTCATTAGTCCATTAAACTAACAAAAAATAGTGCATATAGTCAAATTGTTTACCGTCTGTCTAGCTGTACGTTCATCCGTCTGTCTGTTACGCTTTGTGGTACCCATCTCTTATCCACAACTCCTCTTAATTACCACTGAGCGAAAATTTAATGAAACTTTCACAGAATCTTTATTACATATTGCCATTGTGACCTCCTATTTTACTTTTTGATCCAACACGTAATTTGGGTTTCTAAGCCACAGCAAAACATAGACTTTGCCATTGTAACCATATGGAAGGCCTGGGGTATCATTAAGTGACCTCTTTGCTCACAGTACCTCTAGTTTTGTTTCAAATCAGACTTTTAAGTTAGATTTTTCTTTGTGTCTTGCTTTATGTCACTTCAGAATATTTTACTCATGATGGGATACCAGTGGTTGCTGGTGAAAGGTTGCTATTTGGACTATATATTAAGTGATCATTTAGCAGCTAGAGATCTTTTTCGTGCCAACACTTAGTGTAACACAGTTCCTCAGCACAATAAGTTTCATCCAAAGGAGTAGCCCCATGCCTGCAATGGAATTCATGAACCCCCAACCATACTCATCTACATTGAACCAAATCCTTTTCCTCAAACCACTCACAGTGCCACGAATGCCATGGAAGACTTATTCGAATTTTTTTTTAATATACTCAAAGTGCATTGTTTTGTTTGTTGCTTAAATTAACATCCTTCTTGAGAATCTTTCACTCATATGGAGATGCCACCACTTGGGTGTGGAGGGCTGTGTTTTTATACCTTTATACTCAGCACTTAGGCCATTGAACAGTGAGGGATCTTTTACATGCCCGCACCTACTGGGACCTCAGTTTATAGGTCTCATCCAACAGACCAGTCTCCATGTTCCCAAGTGGATTTGAACCTGTGACATAGGTATCAGGCTCTTTATAGTCTCAACACAAGAGGGACACTCTAACCACTGTACAAGGTGGGTGACCATAGTGTATCGAACTTAAAAGGAGAAAAAAAATCCACCTCCCATGATTTTAACAATTATTTTTTTTTAAAGAATCGGGGAGCTGAGATGCTAAGATGATGTGGACTAGGGCTATAACAATATACCGATATACCAGTATATTGCAATACAAAAAATTGTATCAAATAGCAATACAAAAATTGTGCAAGTCATCTTATATTATGACATATAACATTTTAAGCAAAGTCTGCTATTTTCAATTTCCTAATGAATGCAATTTATTTACTTATCTTGTTTTTATTGAGGTCAGGGTTTAATAAATGGTATGTAAATTCTGAATTGAAGAAGTACTTTTCACCTTCTATACAGAGAATTTCAAATTTTAGAATAGACACACACAAATTACATAGAAAATAGTGCTTTGATTGACCAAGCTCATGCAGAAAAATATGATCTGTCATTTTACAAAAGCCTACTTGTAGATGAATAGCTAGTATATATTGTAAGTTTTTAACAATAGACCATTATTATAAAGACATAAAAATTAAGTGCAAGCAAGAACATTGTCTTTGTAAGTACAGGACTTATTATTTTTTTTGGATGCATTTTTTACTGCGACAGCTGCAACATTAATTTCCATACTAACAACCAAAGAAAGCATTTATTGTTTAAATAAACCTACTGTGTAAATATCAATACAACACTATTTTAAATTTTATCGTATGTTGTTCTGAGGTTGAAAAATTGTTTTTTATTGATATTGTATCATGCTTAACACAAGTTATTCAGTATTCAGCTAGTTTATCAATATTATTCATATAATTGAACAAATGTTTCAGACTAGCTACTGGAAATAAATGCATGCTCTGAGATTATTGTAATAACTCGTTTGTGAATGCCATACACCCATGGAACAATAACTATATACTAATTCAAATAAATAGTTAATTTGCACTAATGCCTATGGATGTGAACTGTAAGGAACGTTTGACAAATCTGTCATTTTTTCTCTCATAAGTTTTTTTTTTCTTGCATGTTGTGAATCCATTCTGATTGAGACACATTGATTTCTTACTAATGTAGAATGACCTAAACTTTGTGCATCATGAGTGAGAAGAAAGGGCTGAATGGAGCAGTTAAGGCATACGATGGATACGGCAGCGTCGACAAGTACTCCGAGGATAAAGTCCGCATCCTAGCGGAGGAGGAGGCGGTAAGTGTTGGAATATTATTTTTGGTGCAACTCCAGTATCAACTCGATCTTCAAACAGTTTAGCAATTATACTCATTTTTTTTTCTAAGAAAATGAGCAGCATTTAAACCCTCATAAAGCTTGTCAATCCTATAAGTCTAAGATTATCTCTTTTATATAAGGGTATGATATTGCAGTATAGTGGGATATTGTTTTGTTGTGGATTAATGTTGTGTTTATCGAACAACAGTTCATTGATTAAACTGTCAAACACAGGCTTCCTTTGTTAACAGTTTGTGGCAATAAGTGTAACATGTTCATGTCATTGCAATTTCCTCGTCTCAGTCAAATAATTTTATCAATACATTATTAAGTTAATATGAGTAAACTTAATTCAAAGATAATGCTCAAATCTTGGCAAATTAAATTTTTGAACTCATCAGAAATATACTGGTTCTTGCCTTACTTTAACCCTTCTTCTCATCCTATTTATTATGACTTATTTAGTATTTCATTCTTATGAAGAATTAAATTAATATAATATATGGAGATTAAGGAACAGTATAATCAAACTCAAAAGCTTACAAAAACAATTTAATACAAATCAGGGGCAGAGCAAACATGTTACCTCCAAAACATTAGTGGTGGAATCAGGTGTCATGTAAGAGTGAGCATCCCCTGCCAACCGGTCACACTCGCTGTGTGCTCCTTGTCATGATCAGGAAAAAAATGAAAAATCTGTCAACAATTTAAGTGTGTGAACAATAGCCTAACAATAAATATGAAAAATTCAGTCAGCATTTGACTTCATTTTAAATTTTATTTGCTATGAAAGTCATTTTATTGATCTGCATCGAAGGACTTACAAAATGATGACTTTAAGCAAGACTGTTGATATTCTTGTTTCATCAACATGTTTGTCAGTAACTTACCTCATTTTAGAAATTGTTCATACATAAAGCATACTCTTTGGTATCGAATCAACTGAGAGATATAAACTCCAAATGCAGTGATAGGGGTATATCGATTGCTGCATGAGTAAGGGAAGTTGATGATTGAAAAGCTAGTCACCATATTTATCATAGCCTAGGGCTTTGTTTGAGTAACAACTTTTTCTAGTAAAATATCTAAGTATGAAACAGACTTAATTGCCTAAAATGCTTCCATTCCCTCTAGTTGTGGATAAATCATGATAATCATACAATAATAATATAATTCCCTGCCTACTTGAAGTTTCCATGATATGTTTATCTAATATAGTAAAATGTAAACCATTCCTACAGGGTTTAGGGTGGACATTTTATGTGATCAGATCATTTTATACCCGTAATACATATATATACATTTCATATTAATCATTTTAGTTAATATTAATAGTGAACTTATTTGGGCATGGACACAGTTTCAACTGAATTTTTAAAACCAATTTTTATTTTTACAATTCCTACCAAAGGCATCATCTAATGCTTAGCAAAAATTGGCATCATCTAATGATTAGCAAAAATTTGAACATCATTTGTAGATTAACAACAAAGCAATAGAAACTGGTACTCTGCAATAATGAGTACTCGCACATTAACTGTATCTAAATCATTAATTTGAATTGCATAAATAAATTACAACTTATTAAAACACAAAAAAGAAAACAGGAAAAATTGACAAAAAACACATTTCAATGATCAAACACAAGAAACAATCAAAGAGAATTTTCCCTTTCTTCCGGTGGGGGGGGGGGGGGGGGGGTTAACTAAGAAAATTAGAAATTAAACCTTTTAAATAGGGAAATAGTAATTCCAAGGAAATTTAAATAATTCGTCCAAGATAAAATAATTCCATTTTCTTGTGTAATTTCACATTTGTTTAAGTATTAGTTATCCAGTGTGTGTTGAAATGGGAATCTAGCATAAAGCACTGCAAGAGTTGCAAAGTTAATGTACATTGTACATCATTTTTAAACAAGTGGCATAAAGTGAGTACAAAATCGAACAAATATAGACACTCTATCTAACGGTAACCCATAATTAATAAAAAAAAAAAAAGAAAGAAACTTTGATAACAACCACTACAAAAGTACCATGCATAGTTGATTGACTTATAAGATCTAAGATCTTGATCATGTTTGTTAGTGCTGTGAACATAATTGTTATCTGAGAGAATGTGAACATCCTGTTAAAGAAAAAAATATATATAGACTTAAAGAAAAAATCCTAAAGTATCTGTTATAGGATATACAGTTACAACCAGTTAACCATGCTTACCCAGTACTATGTCCGAGATTTTGATTGGAAGAAGTTCGAAATTCCTCGAACAGAATCGATGTCGTCATTCATGTATAATTTATGGTCCATATGCATGTGGGGAACATGCAAATCCTTATCTGGGGCTGCATAACTCTAGTAGAAAAATATAAATAGTCTTTCTACAATATAGCCTAAATATTCTAGATCTAGTTCGAGTAAACTCGTATGGACGAAGAAGAGGAAGACATGTGTGAAACGTCATACCTGTTGCAACGTAGTGCACAAAAACGTCATTTGTCAAATTTCACAACATGAAATTTCACTGAGTTTATCACGGGAATTTGTGATATTTGATGCCTCAACAACATTTCCATTTTCGAATCGCCAACGGACTGAATAAGGCTTATTACATTAGGATCATGCATTTTAACAATCGTCTGATTGTCTGTTCGAAAGAAACGAGTCCTTCCTCTTCAACTGTTGTTAAGAAGTCGTGGTGCAAGAACTCTCATCCTAACATCATAAAACAAGACAGCAACAGCGCTTCCCACCTTAGTCAAGTTGGTGATCATGTATTGGATATTGAAAGTTGCTTATAGTTATAGAAGTGTATCAATTTCTTAGCCTTTGTAGTGCCTTTTTTTTTGGGGGGGGGGGGGGAGTTTAGCGGTGTATCGTAGACTCACAACATTTTACACTGTTTTAGCCTATGTGTCATGGTCACGATAATTTCGTCTATTAAAAACTCACGTTGAAAGTTGCAAAACAAGATTTTTAATCTGGAAATGTCTGCATTCTTGTGAGACGTTGATGCGATCGTGCAAAGCATATCCGGATGATTTCCATGATTACATGTTCGTCTTTTCTTTAGAGAAGTGGACAGGTTTTAAGAGATAACCACAGGCATTTTATCAATCGGTCGCTAAATTAGCTAAATATCGAAAAACTCTACCCCCTCTATATATAAATACACAAGGTGTATAGTTTATAGAGGGGTAGAATTTTTCGATTTTTAGCTAATTTAGCGACCGATTTATAAGAATTCAGGTTGCTATGCGATAACCTTTTCGCACTGAGTGAGTCTTCTCCCGTTCGCCCTCAGTGGATTCGACCTGCAGGGTTTTCTTAAAACAAAAAGCATAATTTATTTCAGCAAAAGTCATTTGATCAGTAGGTGTTTACATTTATTTAAATACATGAAATTGGTATACTGTACATCATCATGATTACCGCTATATTGATTTATTAAGTTTGTATCTAAAATATCACATAAGCCAATCGCGATTGATCATCGTCATGAAATAAAAAAAAAATCTGAATTATTCCAAATATTTACAAGTATGCTCTTGATTCCTCAAATCCACATGCTACAGTCCCGCCTCTGTCCCTGTCTTGCCCCGAACGTGATATTTTTTAACCGCGCCTTTCGATTTATGTAGAAATAAGTTATATTTACTATAAATATGTATAATTTTATCTCAGACAAAAACAATGGAAATGTAAATATAATCAAATACAGTGTAATATGTACCGGTCGCTTTGGATTCATGAAAAACGTTTCCCATACCATACACGCAAGAGCGACAAACACAGAACATTCATTTGATGATGTGTCAACATGGTCAAAGCAAAGTCCACTAATGCAAAGATTTCTGGTTTTCACAAGTAAAACCGCTGGAGGCAAAAGCACTTGGAGCAAACATGTGATCGTGGCGAACTCACTCGTTACCATAGAAATCTCCCCCCCCCCCCCCAGTTTCTATCGACGTTAATAGGAGAGAAAACGTGGGTAGTAGGAAAACGGATTGTTCCGTTGTGAAACTAATACATGTAGTAATGGAGTTTTAAACTGAAGAATGCCAAGTAATATATAATAATATATAATAATAATATATAATAATAATATGTAATTATATATAAGTTGAATACTCAATCGATCATAAAGGCCCATCCACAATCAAAAACTTCAATTTCCAATCTATTTGCACATTTATTACAATAAATTAATTAAACTTTCATAAGCGTGGGAACAATCTCGCTATGACATTGAAGAAGAAATGAGCAATGTCATTTTATTTACAAGCCCATGCAGTCTTGAACGGTATTGGCTTGAACATTCTCTTTAAACATTCTTGGATTGTGAAGTTTTTATGACCTCGATCATTTGTTGAAACGGTAGTGAAATTTTACTGCGTATAAGTCGACAGTGCAAAATTGTGAGTTTTTATCACACTAGTTATATGTTCATTCTAGAAAAAATTTTTTTTTAATTAATCCTGCCTAAATCAGTTTCTACATCGTCGGAAACTCACGGGTGATCTCGTCTTTACTTATCACAAGTATAGACGAGATCACCCGTGGGTTTCCGACGATGCAGTTTCTATAGCGATGATGCATTTTGTATATTTTATGTATACTGCCATGATTAACTTTTGGAGCCTTTTAAAGGGGTATTTCAAATAACTTCCAAATTACAACTTTTAACAGTTTTTTTTTAAGTTAAAAAAATCGACTAATGAAATTTACTGTTTAGATTATGTATGAGTTACTTTCTATCAAATACCGGTTCCTTGCAACGCGTATACATACAACGGGTTATATTAAGCGACTGACAAATTTTAGCGGTTTTATCGTAAAAGGGGAATATTCCATTTAGCGCATTAATATTGAATTTTAGTGATTTTGAGTTTAAGGCTGTTTTTTTATGGCAGTGTTTGTGATTTTGATTAAAATATAAGCGAATCTTAGCGTTGCCAAGAACGTCGCGTATGGCGCCTACATTTGATGAATGCGGATAGATATAATTTCAGGATTGTTGAAGCAAAATTAAAACAAATCCCGACAAACTGACCTTTTACATATATTTTTCAGTTGACTTTGACCTTTGACCAGAAATGAAAAGGAATTGTTACCTGGAGGTTTTTAAGAAAAAAAACTGACGTGTTCCAAGACTTGTGATGTACCAGAAATATTATCATTATATACGTATTTGATAGCTGCTTAATAAGCACTAATTTCATGTCTGATGGACATTTTGCAGTTTTAATTTAAAAAGTTCTATGAATTTCTAAAGAAAAACATCTAGCTTGTGTGCCTATCTGAGTCATAAAAATTCAACACTGTCATTTGTTTATGTTTAAACAATGTTAAACCTTATAATAATCCTAAGCCTGCTTCTTCCAGGGCTGCCTTCAAGGAAATGATTACTTGAGATGCAACATGAATGAAAACATTCAAACATTGATGTTATAACAATATCTTCAGTCATTTAAGTACATAAATATTTTGAAGAGTGTATACATGTACAGCTTCAAATACATGTATATATGTAAGGTGATTAATAGGTACACTGTTTATATATTTTTCTATTGAAGGATAATTTATGCAGATATGGTATGTTTGTATAATTTTATATGATTGTATATAGTTCTTAACTCTTTTATAATTGTATCTGTCAAGCTGTGCATACTGAACTGATATAATTTTTTTCAGAGCTCTGATGGAGGGATTCACATGTCAGGTTTGGAGGGGGGCAGGAGTGACCGGTTCCATGCAACTTGTTACTTCAGTGATGGAAAGAGACAGATAGGTAATATTGTATGAAAAATAATTATGAGTTTATGGTACTTATAGTCTTATTTCAATTAAAATTTAATCAATGTAATGATTCAGTCTACCTGTAGATGAGAAGAACTTGTAAGTTGCAAGAACTTGTTTCTGACCCTTTTATGTTTAACAATAAAATATGTTAAAATCAAAACCTGTATATGAGAATTTTATACATATATCTTGTTAGCTGTAGAACTGTAGCATCATGGTTTTATATATTAGGACCATGTCAAAGACTAATATATAAAACCATGACGATACAGATCTGCATCTTGTATTTTATCAATACAATTGTTTATTATAATACCCCACGCAACAAGTTGCAGGAGGTATAATGTTTTTGACCCGTCCATCCGTCAGTCAATCCATCAGTCCTATTTTATTTGTCAGTGCAACTCCTCATTTTTCGTCAAACCTTGCAGATATTTAGGACACAATGTGTAGATGTGCATATTACCAGGAAATTCTGATTCCTTTATTTTTTTCGGGAATTTTGGCACTTTTCAACGTAGATTTTTGGCCATACCTTGAATACAGAGATGAACAATTTGTCAGCACAACTCTTAAATTCATAAACCGCTGCACAGAATTTGGTCAAACTTTGCACATACTTAGGACACATTGTGTAGATGTGCATATTACAAATGTACCAGGAAATTCCGATTCCTTTTTTTCAGGAATTTCAGCATTTTTCAACTTGGATTTTTTGGCCATACCTTAAATACAGAGGTGAACAGTTTGTCAGCGCAACTGCTCATAAACCGCTGCACAGAATTTTGTTAAACTTTGCAGATATTTAGTACACAGTGTGTAGATGTACATATTCCCAAAAAACTCCATTTCCTGTATTTCTCTGGGCATTTCGGAACTTTTCAACTTAGATTTTTGGCCATGTCTTGAGCATAGAGATGAACAGTTTGTCAGTGTAACTCCTCATAAACAGCTGCACAGATTTTTGTCAAACTTTGCAGACATTTAGGACTCAATATGTAGATGTGCATCAGGAAATTCCAATTGCTTAATTTTTTTCGGGATTTTCGGCACCTTTAATTTTGGGTGAGCGTGGGGTATGTGAGCTTGCTCACTTTTTCTTTAATCATTCATTTTGTATAGACTATAGAGTAATGTGCAATTTTTACAACTTTAAATGAATGGATAGTTTAAAAATAAAGTATGAGTCACAGTAACTCTGGTAGATAAAACTTGGTAACAATTGCTCTTGGTTCTAACAGAACCAGAATGGAATATATCTGTTGTAAATTTAAATCCTGATTTTGCCAAAGTCCTTTACCTTTATTAACACAGATTTCATACTGGTTTATGAGGAAGAATTAGACCAAGCAAAGAAAAAATCACAAGGGGAGGCGACCAACATTGAAAAATGGAGAGCAAAGTTTATGGTCAATCTGAAGAAAAATGGACTAGATTTAGAGGAGGTATTTATATTAAATTGTCTGTCTGACCATTTGACATGCATTTTGATACAACTAAATTAATTTATAATTAACTAAGGTAAAATTTAACAGTAATATTGAGCAGAATTATATTTCTGCAAAATATTAAGCTGAAGCATGCATGCTAATAATAAAATGCATCAACATGCAGTATTAGATTTGGCTTGAAGTTTTGAACTACACAATATAGCTTATAATCATTTGGATATTTTTTGGATAATTTCACTTTCTCTTTCTCTGAATTTAGCATTTTTAGATTGTAATTGTAGTAATATGCTAAAAGTTGTCACCACTTAGTTATTACCAAATATGTTATGTAGATAGGCAATACTAATGATTGACAAAAATAGAACAGCTAGCTGCATCAGCAGATATAAAAAAATTTTTTGGCAAATATATTTGATTAATGTCTCAAAAACCTGTCTCGGTAAAACTTGGAAATAGCCAAGTCCTGGGGGCTTGTGAATGCACTTTGCTGTCAGTAATTTTTCATTTTTGTACATAGGTATATCAAAATCAATGAAATTCAAATTTTTAAAAGAATGTATTGAATATTTTTTTAAATATTGTTCACAATCTTCTTAACCTTAAATTGCAACTCTACAATATTATTTTGTGTCAGAAGCTATATTCAGAACTGCAAGATGTGAGAAGATTTCACACACCAAATACTAAAGTACATGCACTCTCCTCTGATAACTAATTACTAAGCAGTCTTTTTATACATGGACTAAAAATGTTGTTTTATAGAAACTTGTAAAGGATATACAACTGTACTCCTTTCATTCATTTTATTCCTCTATGGTTACCAAGTTGAAAGATTAATCAAATTTGATGCAGGAAAAAATATATACAGTACATATATCGCTTTGAGATGATGATTTTATCAGCATTCAATTAGCACAAACAAACACATACTCCAGGAATAGCAAGATTAATTCAGATTAGTATTGATGATACAGCTGCAGGCATTTCTAAAAGTACCAGTACTCCTATCTGAAGTCACTTTATTGTGAAATCTTAAACATTTGACAATTTATTTATTTTTTTAATGTTTTCCATAAAAATTTTTTTTTCATATTTTTAAACAATTTTTTAAACATCTGCTCAGACCCCACTTTATTTTTATCTGCCACCATGAATATGGTCGTAGTATAAAGCATTTGTTATGTCTGTCTTCCATCCTTTAAATTTTACTTTCTGTCATAAGGCAGGTTGCAGGTTTTCTTTTGTTATTAATTTTGGTACGTAATTATAACATACCAACAGGCTGACGGACAAAATGATACCTGTATACATGTACCCCTCACCCCCAACATCCCCAAAACTTCCTCACTGATCATAAGCAATATGTGTGAAATGGAAACTCACTAAGTTTATTCATAAAAAGATATAGACAGGACACAAGTTATGACTTTTTCTTCCATTGACCTTGAATTTGCCTAAATGACCTTGGGTGACCATAATTCAAGTTTGGTCCATATCTTTCTTATGGATAAACTTGGTGAGTTCCCAATTTATTCAAAGATTGTTTATGACTTAAGGGTGTGTTCAGATCTTGACCAAAGGTCATTTGGGCAAGTTCAAGGTCACTGGAAGAAAGTTCATAATTCGTGTCTGCTCCATATTGGAGATTGGGTATCTTTCTTATGGAGAATAATGTTTGGATATTGGGAGTTTCCACTTCACACAAAGGTGGCTTATGACCTGAGGGGGTGTCATGACCTTGACTTAAAGTCATTGTAGGAAAAATGGATAAATAATGCATTTATACATTCCAATCACAGTCACTGTCTCAGAAAGAATTTTTTAACCCATAGTATAATAATGTTAGTGTTAAATTATTATTATACTAATTAATGGGTTAATAAAATGATTTCCGAAACAAGTGCTTGTGATTTGAAAGTTTGGATGGATTATGCCTGTGTTTCCAATAGAGAAATACTTGAAAAATTGTTTTTCATTTTTTGTAATAAATGCCTGTTATAATTATCGTATTGATGTTTAACTAGACTGTGTACTTCAGTTTTATTCATTAGAAAAATATAATGATCAATTAATGGTACAAAGGCATATATATTTGTTAACTGTATCTAAAATTTGTTACTATATATACATTTAACTACAGGAAGAGGTAGAAGTGAGTAGTTTTAGAAACTCAATTCTCTGTTTAAACCACATAAACTAGCTGTACTTTGAATAACTTTCAAGATAATATATACATGATTTGTTTATGCCATTTAGTTGACTATAACAACTATGCAATACAGTCTTAGTTAATATGTCTCAGTTTCATTCTTCATGATCATATACTGTGAGTTAAGTTTACTGTAGCTCTATAAAAAAATGATGTGACTATTTATAGGGTCTATCTTGTAGTCTTTTTATAATATAGGTCTGATTTATACACATACATCAAATAAACTTACAGGTAATATAAATATGTTTAGAAATGATTCACCTATTTTAGATTATATACCCCCTGGTATGTGTACATGCATGTACCTAAATGAATAAATCTAATGCATATTTTTATGAGGAATACCTATAAGAGATAACCAGTTAGTAAAGGTGTTTTTGGTGTATATTTTAATTATCAACATGTTAAATTTTTGAATAATTTGATATTTTGAGCATAGCGGGAACTGCACCTATGCCTGCAAAACAATATGTACCTTGTGCATGTATACATTCAATGGATGTACCGGTATACTGTTAGCTGTACGTATGTACTGTAAGGAATATTCATAAATTTCATATTTTTCTTATGATTTAGATCGCCATAATTTATTATAAACTTCACAATTTTAAGAATTACATATTGGGACCAAGAAAGTTAGTTAATTGTTATTCATTAAATAGTTCTGAATTTTTTTTACTATGTATGTTTAAAAACAGGAGGAGATATATGTAAAAGTGAGTAGTTTTAGAAAATTCAATTCTCTGTAAACCATGTACATGTACTTTGAATAAATTATCAGTTATTAGAATGATTTATATCATGTAATTCTGTTACAAAAATATAATAGCGTCTAAATCTATGATGAGTTTTATTCTCCAAACTCGAGTAATTCAATTCCTGAAATATATACATGTACAGGATGTATTACATGTATAAAAGATTCTATAATTAGGCATGCATAATGTGTAGATTCCTTTATAAAAAGAAACAATATTGAAGACATTTTACTTTATTATTACAAATAAGTTATTAAGTTAAACAGATATCAGATGAATTTTTATTTTTATCACATCTTTACGCCTTTAATTAAACTGTGCTATGGATTTAGTCGTATATGATTTTTTTTTTTCATATGGACAGTTGTCATATATGGCATCAAGAGTGAGTTCATTAAATGAAAACAGTTTTAAACATGTGATAGCTATGTTCAACATGACTGAAAAAAAAAATTCTCAATGATTTTGGTTGGAATGCTAGTTATATAGATGATTTTTATCCAGTAAATGGTGCACAATCCATTGATTAAAAATCATATCCAAACACAGTCCATGGAAGTTCTCACATATAAATTTGCATAAATCCAAATTCATATTTTTGTGAAGCATATAAAGCAAACCAAGAGATAAGAACTATATTTTATGAACATACCTAACCTAACTTGTATATAATCTTATAATCTCATGAATTTGATATCCTGAGTGTAAAAAGTACATACAAGTACATTGTATACACATTGAATGATCTGATGTTTTGGAGGTCCATGTTTGCTCTGCTCCTACTTTATATTGTTTTATGGACTTATGATCTTGAATACTGTTCGTTATTATCCATATGTTTCATTGCACTAATACATGTAATTGTGTTTATATGTTCGGAACATTGATTGGTCTTATCCTCTTCTCCAAAGAAATATATATTCATGTACCTTTAATATTGCATTAATTAATTCATGCCACTTTTATCATGAATAGGAACGTACTCAGAGTCAGAAGAAAATCACCTATTTTATAAAGATCCATGCACCCTGGGATGTCCTGTGCTTTTATGCAGAAGATCTGTGTTTTAGAGCACCATTACAGGTAGGTTCAACAGTAAAACTGGCAAGGCAAGGAGTTAAGGTTTATTGATACTCTAAAAAGAGAGATAACTCTTATTGAGAATAAAATCTACATGTATTTATCAGTCCTAAATTATAATTTTGTCAAGTGGAATTTTTCCCCCTAATTTTTCTTGGCAAGATATAAAAAATTATCTGCATTTTTTTTTTTAAACATACAAATGTATATATATTTTTCTGGGAACATAATGATTACTGGTATCAACATCATATAAAATGAAAATCATATGGCAAATCCTGTTTCATTTTTATTTTGTAGCAAATCTTCTAACATATGCATGTTTAAGAGTTATAGAAAGATATGACTCATTGTTATACTTAACTAACTGTATTAAACTTGAACATAAAGTCCGCCGAGAACCTGTTTTATACGCAATAGCTCTCCTTCATGCCCCTGCGCTAAAAATAGCGACATGTAAAACTATAAATACTAATAAAACAAACGGGGCGGGGCACAAACTTATGACCTTGACCTTTGACCTTTTGACCTCAAAATCAATATATCACAAAAGAATTTGCTTACATGACCTTGACCTTTGACCTTTTGGCATCTCTATAGGGATGTTTGATTTGAATATACACATTACATCAGTTTAAAGTTTTATTAGTGATCGAGGTCAAAGCATTGTATTATTTTTCCTAGGACTAACTTGCTTTGCAGGTTAACACTAGTTTCATATGATTGAAAAGAATTTGGAACCTTTTTATTGAACTTTGCCTCACTGATAAAAAAAAAATGTTGAAGTGACTGCTTTGTATTCTTAGATACTCTTTGATTATACATGTATACCTTTGTTTCATATTTGATTATATGCTTATGTTACATCTACATTAAAATATTTTTAGCTATATGGTTACTTGTAGAGGAGTTACGTGGTTTCTCAGAGCTAGTAATTGATTTAACAACTCTGAAAATCAATTTAATTCTCCAGCACAGGAACAGCTTATTATTAATTCATGTTTCAACGTCAAAGATAAACTTGTTTACACATACAAATAACATAGAAAAAGTCTTCTTTTAGTTTCTGAAAGAAATGATACTAGTATAGAAGAAAAAGTAGCATAAGTCTAGAAGTATTCTTGTTAAATACCAGCAATAATCTTAAGTTTAAAAAAACAGAAACATTTTATTATATATTTCATGTGCTTCTATCTATTAATTGTTTTATTTTTCTGTTTTCAAAAATTAAAGAACTTTGATTTCTTGAATAATATGATTTTTTTTTTCTCTTTGGTTTAATATGATTTTAGGAATTGATACCCAGTAAGGTTTGTTGTTATTTTTATTTGTTTTGTTCCTTTGCATTGGAAAAATTTTATTTTATGCTTAAGCATACAATATCTGTCTCTGTACAATATTAAATAGATACTTCGATCCCTCATACACTTATATTGATCTGAAATGTACCATGCATATCAAATAAGACTATTACGTCAGATTGTACAGAAACTTGGGTTAATGAGCCAAGAAATACTGAATTCTGATTGATTTGAATACATATCTCTGGTTATATCTTACTTCTGTGGAATGACTGCATGCATAAGTATACCACGTATATATATCACCCAAATACAGTAAACCAACTCTAAGACTTCTACTTTCTCTTCCAACGATGTCATTTTTCTGTTTCCTCCCCCTCCCTGTTATCTTTGTTTTAAGATTGTCAAATAATTATTAATATGTTATGATACAAAATGATTTTTTTCATTCTTCCTAGAAATAAAACCATATTTGGCAGATATTTAGGTATGATATAACATTGCTTAGAACTCGGCAACTTTAGGCCTAAGAAGATATATATTTTTGAAATCTTCTAGGATCGATGCATTTACCATTAATGGTAATTAAGCCTGGTTCATTTAATAGACTTGCTTGTGAATGCATCTCATAGGTACACCCAAAGTAAAATTTGCAGGCATGTAATACTTACACCTGTAAGTAAATATATGCATGTGAATGGGGCTATGAAACAGTACCAGGGAAAATATTTGCATTTGATATTTGACAGCTTTTTAGCTCACCTGAGCCGAAGGCTCACGTGAGCTTTTCTGATCACATTTTGTCTGTAGTCCGTCTGTCTGTCTGTCTGTCTGTAAACTTTTCACATTTTCGACTTCTTCTCAAGAACCACTGGGCCAATTTCAACCAAACTTGCCACAAAGCATCCTTGGGTGTAGGGAATTCTAGTTTGTTCAAATGAAGGGCCACGCTCTCATTCAAGGGGAGATAATTGGGAATTAATAAAAATTTGGTGGTATGTTTTAAAAATTTTCTTCTCAAGAACAGCTGTGCCAGAAAAGATGAAACTTATACATAAAAATGGAAGAAATTTTGGTAGTGAAAAATAGATTCATTTAGTTTGTTAAAATCATGTAAAAATGACCCCCGATATTATTGTGCGGGGCCACAATGGCATGACCAAAGTTTTACAATACAAAATTTATAGGAAAATTCTTTAAAAATCTTCTTCTCAAGAACCACTGTGCCAGGAAAGCCAAACCTTACATGGAAGTTTGTTCCTCTGTTTTAGTGTAGATTCAAGATTGTTGAAATCATGATGCCCTGGTTTGTTTTTGTTTTCATGATGGAGGTACCAAAATGACCAACCAAAGTTTTACATAGAACTATATAGGAAAATTCTTTAAAAATCTTCTTCTAAAGAAAAGCAAAGCTAAAATTGATCATATTAATATGGAAGCATCCTCAGGTAGTGTAGATTCATGTTTGTTCAAATCATGACCCCCAGGGGTAGGGCGTGGCCAAAATGGCCAACCAAATTTTTGCATAGAAATATATAGGAACATTTTTAAAAATGTCTTCTTAAGAATAGCAATGCCATGACTGGTCATGGGACTACTTTTAGATTTAAACTTTTGAATAATAAACCAATTTTTACTTTTTCCTAGCCACAGTGCTCAGGTGAGCGATGTGGCCCATGGGCCTCTTGTTATTATATTACAGAGACAACTGTTTAATTGTATTTTGTTCAGATTTGTTCATTTATTTTATTTGGTTTATTTGTCAGATCTTACATGATAGAGGTAACATATTGGTTTGTTGTCCTGCCTTCAGTTTGGAGGTACCAATATCATTGGTTTGTTGTTCAGTGCTTTCATGATGGTGGAACCAAGTTAGTTTGTTCTGCCTATTTGAATTTGTCAAATTTGTTTGTTTTTCTGCCTTCAATTTGGAGGTACCAATATAGGGATGTGCGATTTTATCGGTATACTGGTATATCGTGATTTTTTGTTGTGTGATACGTATTGCGATACGGAGACCTAAATACTGGTATTTAGGTACACCTAAATACCGGTATTTAGGTACATTTTATGAAGTCCAGAAATTGTTTATTTATTTGTTCAATTTTTCAAATTAGAATTACAGAAAGTCTAAAAAATGTTGTAAAAGGTGAACAGAATGACATTCTACCATCCAAATATGATTAATCTTATTTACATAAAAAATTTGAAAAGATGAAATTTTGTTTTTCTAGCATATTTTAAAGAAAAATAATGACTATTCATTTAAAATCATTGTAAATAAAATTGCTTGTAAAAATATCACGATATTATTGTGATATTTTGGGAAAAAATCATGATACATGTACATATGTATATTGCAATACAAAATTTTTAGCGATACCATCCCTTTACCTATACCAATTGGTGTCTGTTTTTTGCAATTGAGGTACCAATTGGTTCATTGTTTTGTCTTCATATTGGAGGTACCAATACCAATTAGTTTGTTGTTCTGTTTTTGTGATGGAGTTACCAATTGGTTCATTGTTCTGCTTCCATGATGAAGGTACCACTGCCAACTGGTTTGTTGTTTTGTTTTCATGATGGAGGTACCATGCAGTTAAATTGTTGCTCTGACTTGAAGATGGAGGTACCAGTTCAATTTGTTCTGCCTTCATAATGGAGGCACCAATACCAATGTTTTGTTTTTCTGGCTGCATGATGGTTACAAATTAAAGAACAAGGTTCACTTTATCCATTAAATGGTCCTGTCCATATAAAAATTAACCAAGTCCCAATGTCTAATTTCAAACATCAATATAAAGTAGAGATGCAGTGCTTTCATTTCCTGTAGAAAAGGTTCCTTTGAGAGTTCAGGTGTTGCAAAATACATGTAGGATTTATGAAATTTCAGTGTTTTTGCATTTTGATTTACTGACTGTATGTTCAATTGTTTTACGTCTCTCTTATTTTGGAGAAAATGGGTGACTTTGAGCATCTTCAGCCTCCATGATCAAGGTCACAATTGAATTGTTTAAATTTATATACAAGTTTCAAAAGTTACCAATAAAACTTTCTAACAGGATGAAACTTAGAATGTACCATGTGCAATATAAGAAAAAATTAACTTATAAACATTATACATGTAACATCTTTGACAATGTACATATTTGCATTACTATATCCAGAAGACATGATAAATGTGTTTGGCAAGATCTGATTGTTTGAAACTAAAAAAACAATTATAGGTTTCAGACTGTGATAGAGTGAAAATATCAGACAAAACTAATGTAAAGTTAGCCCACTCAGAAGAAAGTGTTAAAGAACGTGGGCTAGATCGCTCACAAATGCTTTTAGATGTCACTTAATGATATGTTATAGAGTCGATGGATGGACTTAACTTCTAGTCAGGCTCTATCATTTCCAATTTATTGCAGAATTGATGGCCCATAATTTACGTTGTTTGATTTAAATCTTGTATTCAGTGTTTATTACTTTGCATCACTTACTAGGAGTGATGAAATTAATTTTAACAGAATTATTCATTATTGAATTATTCATTTCTTTCTATCCTTTTAAATCTAGTTTTTTTTTTTAAATGTCAGATAAAATTGGTGAGGCAGAATTACTGGTAGTAAGCTATATTCTGCAATGGATTTTTCAATGTTTCTAATAGTCAACATTGTCACCAGAGTAAATTAACAAATAAAGCAATGCATCTTTACAGACAAGCTACTTATTGAATGTCAGACGTTCAGTGGAAATGCTCATATTGCATGCCAGAGAAATCTATTTTCTATCCTGTCATTAGGAGAAATATTGGAAGACAAATATAAATCGGTTTTGTTCAACATTGTCATATAGCCTTTCTTTTCCCCATAGTCACTGCAGAATGTTAAGATTTGCTTTTTCATCTGATTTATGGCTATATTGTTTGACATAAAGATTTTGATTTATCACAAGTTTTTTTTTTTCTCAAAAAGAATTCAGTTCCGTAATCAACGTAAACACAGGGGATATACTGGATGTGTTTTCATGGAAAAACTCATTTAGGCTCCAAGAGTAATGGCTTCAAGATATTTTAGCCCTTCTCTTTCTGTATGGTATTGAATTTTCAGATGCTTTCTCAGATGAGGGAAAAAAAAAAACCAAAAGCACCACTGTACTTTATACTGAAACAAGAGCAGAGTCTCTTCCACAGAGAACATGAATAAATTTATTGCTTGTTAATTAATAGCCTCTTTACATGTATAATTCATTGCCATATTTGATATGAATCTTTGATATGAATATTGTGCATTAGAGACTAAATTTTTTTTAAAAATTCTTGGTTAGCAGATATCTTTGGCATCTGTGTAGTATATTTCTATGTTTTATATTTTATTGTTACCTGTTTCTATAGGCACATCCCAATCCTGCAGACAACTGGTCAGAGAATGTACTCCGAGCTCTACACATACCAAACCTTATGTCAGATGATGTACCTAATCAGCCCATGGACTTCTACACATGCCAGTTCAAAATGTCCAAACTGGACAGGTATTAATGTGTAAAAATTTGTAAATGTATTCATAGGCAGTGAGGAGGGAGGGGAAACAACTATACATGTATAGTGTGTGTCAGCCCTTAAGTTAGACAACCTTTCTTTTAAACATATAATTTGTGATACAACTTGGTTAAAATTAATTCTTTTTCTTTACACAAATATGGTAAATAATTCTTAACAGTAAAACAACTTTTTCTGCAGATTTCTGGGAAGTGATAATAAGGATACATACTTCACAAACATTCAGAGACATCGAGTGGTGTGGGAGATTCTGTCTACCACTGCATACGGGAAGAAGAAGAGGGCTGAAATAGGGATAGAAAGGCTCCTAGAAGAGGACGTTTTCAAAGCAGCATTCCCCTTACATGATGTATGTGACTGTTTTGTTTTTTTTATCTCCCTTGAGCCTTATTAATTTTAGCTATTTATTTTGAATTACTGTGTAATAAATCTGAATCTAGTTCATCAGGAGAACAATTAAAGTACATTGTGTCAAAATTCAAGTCAAGAAATTTAGTGAGATGCGAACTTTATTATAATAACTATGATATATTTAGAATATCAATAATTTCTCGCAATTAAGTACAGGATATAAAGATTTTATATAATTAATGCCCTTCAAGCATGATAGCATATTGTTTCAGGTCTTTCCTGATCAAAATTTGTTCATTGAAGTATTTCAGACATAATATATCTAGGTTGTGATGTATATGAATTTTTTCTGCAGGGTCCATATGAGAAACCGGATCATGGCATCAGTCCGGAGGATATGAACCACCGGCAGGTCTTGTATGAGTACTGGGCGCGGTGGGGAAAGTGGTACAAGTACCAGCCATTGGACCACATCAGAGAGTACTTTGGGGAGAAAATTGGCATATACTTTGCTTGGCTAGGTGAGAACTTTTACATAATGTCATATGTAGGAAGATTTTTGTTTTATAATCTGGAGAAAGAGCCATTTTTAAAATAATCTTCATGTATTAGATCTTATATGTTACATTAACCCATTAGAACACCGCGTGCAGACAATACTTAGTATTTCGAATTGGAAATCATTTTAAACTATTGACTGTGAAAGGGACTAAAAGTCTCCATCATACTAAGCAATATTTCAAATCATACAATATATGAATGACTGAAATTTATTATGCTTATTTTTCCCAGGATTTTACACTGCCTGGCTGTTACCGGCTGCTGTCGTTGGAATTATTGTGTTTGTGTACGGAGTTATTTCTGTGTTCCATAATGTCCCAGTGTGAGTATAAAACGTAAAATTATATTGACTGAATTTTGATACTCATGATACAGTTTTTCCTTGTAAACATGATCATTTATCATTATAGCCTGTTTTTTTAATTAAAAAAAAATGTATGTGTAAGAAATTGTTTCCTGATCTTTGTTGTGGAACACAATAGATTAAAGCCTTTGAAGGAATAAGAAAGCTAAACTAAAAGCATTCCTACTTCTGCTGTGTCTTTTTTCAGTAATGATGTGTGTTCGAGTGGTAAGGATTACAAGATGTGTCCACTGTGTGATGAGAAGATAGGCTGTGCCTACTGGTACCTCTCAGATGTCTGTACTTACGTCAAAATAGCCTACCTGTTTGATCACCCAGCTACCGTGGCTTACGCTGTGTTTGTGTCATTTTGGGGTAGGTCATCTTCTCTTCTCTTTGTAAATCTTCTTGAATTTACTGTTATAGCACTTTCTTGCAAGTGTTTATATCCAAGATTTCACTGTACTATGATTTGTAGTGTTCAACAAGCACTTTGATAACAATTTACACTACCCAGTACTCAGTCCTAACATGTATCTGAATGCTGTGTTTTTAACATTTTTAAATTGTCATATGTTATTCAGCTGTAACTTTTCTGGAGTACTGGAAAAGAAAGAATGCCAGCTTAGCTCACCATTGGGATGTCCTGGACTTTGAGGATGAAGAGGTTACAGTTTTCTTTTTCAAAGTTATCGAGTCTTTTGTTAAAATTGAATACATGTTAAACAATATGTGATTTTAAACTACTAGTATTTTACAACTGACACTGTACATGTAGGTATTGATTATAATTGTTCACAGAGAATACATGATTATATACATGATGCATATCAAATGCATGTTCATCAGAAACTGTTGATCATATTTTTCTGGAAAACATCAGCTGTCATATATCTTAGTGCATATATGTATATCTTGAATAAATTTATATTTAAGTATTGGTCACCTAAGGTTTCATAAGAATAATTCATTTATTCAACCAATTTATGCTTTCTGAAATGGCGGAACAATTTTCAGCAAGTTAGCGTTGATAATTTGGCGCCCTCTTAATGTGCTAGTTATAAAAATATCAACATTTAAGCTAATTTTCATTCCGCCAAAATCGCTAAATAGAATACACCGCTAAATGTAATACGTTTACAGTATATCCTTTCATGTAATTTATTTAATCAACCATTGTCACTTTGTGGATGATTTTTGCAGGAGAGGCCCAGACCAGAGTATGCTGCAAAGGCTCCAACATACGAGAAGAACCCCATAACGGGGGTCAAAGAGCCTCATTTTCCTCCCAGGGATAGAATCCCCAGAATTCTGTCAGGATTTGGAGTCATCATTTTGATGGTATAACGCTGGTTTGCTTTTCTACTTCCCATAATATGTAAATTCAATCAATTTTCTTAATTAAAAATATAATTATGCAAAATCTTGGCATGGAGTTAAGTCTGAAAAGCTTGTTTAAATTTGTTGGGATACCAATGCTTTTAACTGAATGTAACTTGCAAATTAATACATCATTGAAATAAATTATGGTACATGATTTTATTTTTGTTATTGTGGATTGGGATAGATTATTGTTGAATGTATCAATGACTTACATTTTGTATTTGTAATTTACTTGAATTTTTTTCCTCTTTGTAGATGTCGCTGGTCCTGATCTTCATTGTTGCCGTGATAATGTACAGAATTTTAGTTAGTATACCTTTGTTCCAAAATAAAACACTACGAGGCCAGGCCAACCTTATTGCCAGTACCAGTTCAGCTGTAGTCAACTTGATTTTGATTATGGCCCTTGGAAAAGTTTACGAAAAATTAGCATTAAAACTTACACAGTGGGGTGAGTACTCGTTTGCTTAAATTTCCTCATTTGTTTGGAGCATAAAACTTTTCAGAACTGATGCTTTAAAGTCAGTCATCTATAAATTTTTGATCAGAAATAATTATATGGTGATATGAAAGACTTCTAAGAATTAAAAAGAAAGTGCAATTAGGCCAAAAAAAATTAATTTCTTGGTTCTCAGGCCCTCCCTCATCTCTTCCAAGGGTGCCTCATTGACCCTTTTTATTGCTAAATCAATAAAATAAAAAAATAAATCACCTCCCTCATCATTTTTGGGGGTTTTGTACAATGTAAAAAGCTGCCTCATCATGTTTTAGGGGCAATAAAAAAGAAAAAAAAATGCCTCCCTCCCTCATCATATTTCTTGAAAAAAGGCCTGAGAACCAAGGAATTAACTTTGCATGGCCTTAAGTATTTCTTTTTTGTTGATACATTTATTTTAAAATTGATGAAAAAATGGTATATTAAAAGGGAAGTCTCTTATAAGAATTGTAAATATATAATATGTCAATTTCTTTCTTTTTTAGAGATGCATCGAACTCAGACTGAATTTGAAGATCAGCTGACCTTTAAAGTGTTCATTTTCCAATTTGTCAATTTCTACTCCTCAATTATTTATGTAGCATTTTTCAAGGGAAAGTAAGAGTTAGAGTTTATTTGGTATTGAAAATTTGAAATCAACATCCAAATTGATTGGTTTTCAGAAACCTAGTACACGGTCAATTTTTTTTGTCTACAGGTTTAATGGTTATCCTGGTCACTATACAAAGCTGTTAGGTTTACGGAATGAAGAGGTAGGTCTATCTGTAGTTAATTAAATTGAATATGTAAATCTACCTTAATTTCACTATACATGTGGTGTGAGTTAAAGAATGCATTTAGAGTCCGATTTGAAATATTTTCCTTTATAAATACATAATTCACACACCTTGCAGCAGAAATATCCAGTAGAATTGCATATTACAGGATTCAAGTTTGGTTTACTACATCAATTAAAGAGTATATTTTGATATTGCAGTGTAATAATGGAGGCTGCCTGATAGAGTTGACACAGCAACTTGCAGTCATCATGATCGGCAAACAGATGATTAACAATGCACAGGAAATCATTATACCGTAAGTGAAAAATCTCACAAGATATATTGCTCAGAGCTGCAAGCCAATAGCCTTTCAAAATTATTGTTTAAATCATTGAGAAATTAATTATCACCATTGACTTACCAAGTATGCATTGTAAACCAGATTGTAAAAGTATTCTATCTTAATTTTCTCTGGATATCATTCTTTATAACCCTGCTGGTTGCTGCTTCAGCTATGTTTGCTATACTGTACATCACTAAATTTTTGTGACAACTTTTTTCGCGAGATGAACATTAACTCTGTATAAACAAGATAGTATTTTCATGAATTGTACTTACTTCTGTATATAATGCTATGTTTAGGAATACATGTACTTGAATACCTGAGAATGTTATTTTAGTGAGTACACTGTCTCATGTAATTACACGAAAATAAAGTCGTCACGAATAAAAAGTAATATCAGTAGATGGTAAAGCAAGTTATATTCTATTTGATAGTACAGATAATTTTGCTGATGATTATTTTGTAACAATAATAAGAGTCCTCATCTATCAACAGAAAGATGAAAGCCTTCTGGCACCGGTGTAAGACGAGTCTGGATAAGAGCGCCGTCAATAGCCGCTGGGAGGAGGACTATCAGCTGATCGAGAACGAGGGGCTGTTTGAGGAATACTTAGAGATGGGTAAGATTGGAGGATGGATCTACTGATATTGTGTATACATTACAATACATGTATCTATATTTTGTTCAGATGACTAAGTGCCCTGAGCATTGTCAGAGTTTTCAGTGAAGTTTGACCTCTTTCAGTGCTACAGTTTGGATTTATCACAATATTTGTGGCGGCGTTCCCCCTGGCTCCTCTGTTTGCTCTGTTGAACAACTGGGTGGAGATTCGACTGGACGCCCACAAGTTTGTCTGTGAGACTCGCCGTCCCGTAGCAGAGAGGGCTCAGGATATTGGAGTCTGGTTTACAATCTTGGATGCGCTTGCACAGTTGGCTGTTATAAGCAATGTATTCATTTTCAATACCATTTTATATATAGTTTATAAAGTTTACTTAATTTATCCTGAACATAAAAAAGGAAAAGAAAGACAGGAAAAGTTTTACATATTTATTGCAAAGGATGGTAGTGTTCAAGTCCTTCCTGACAATGTGGAGTTATGTCCAAGACACGATGTAGTTACGATATACACATTACTTTTTTATAGTTTTCTTTTATAATATCATGATATTTTTGCAATACTTCCTTTTTAGGACAATTTGATTTAAATGATTTTCGATCGTGCCGATATCGAATTGGTTGTTCCATGAATTGTGGTTTCAATCCTTAATATTGTGTTTCTAACAAATGTTACTTTAAACTTTATAAATTTTTATCGATATACGATAAAATTAATCATGTTTGCTCAGCCCATGGTAAATACCTTCCCTGTTACTTTGAATGTGTTTATATTTAATTACTTTACTTTTACAAAGATTTTACCTGCCATCGATATCATCGATATCGACGATATCGTACCAATATCGAATCATGATTGTTAAAAGCATATAACTTTACCAACCTTCACCCTAAATACAAAAAAATAGCTTTACAACACTTCTGTGTTTAATTAGTTTACCTTACTGTCGATATCATCGATATCGTATCGATATCGAATCATCATTTTTAAATCATTTTCAAGAATTGCACCCAACATCAAATCTAATCTTAAACAATAACAACCCTAATACATTCTTAATCATAATTTATTTTCATATTCATGCCAATAATGAATCAATTTTGACTTCACTTGTGACTTTGTAATCGACATAGAATTCGTTCTTGGACATGTATGACAATGTGAGTTAGCACCTTGATAACAATAAAGTATTAGATGTGTACTGTAAATGTTGATTTTTTAAATATAATAAATATATTTTCAGGCTTTCCTGATTGCGTTTACATCAGAGTTTTTACCACGCCTCCTTTACCAGTACCAGTATAACTGGAACCTAGAGGGATATGTTAACTTTACCCTTGCTGTGTCTCCCCCGGGCACCATGAACCAAACGTGCAGGTCTGTGTAGTAACCGGTTAAAAAATTAAATCTATGGTTCTATCATATAGAGTCTGAAAAACAAATTGTTTCAGTATTTTCTCAATGACCAAGGTCAGAGCTGAGAACTTATTCTTTAATATACAGGTACAAAGAATTCCGGGATGATGAAGGAAACTACACACTGTTTTACTGGCATTTACTCGCTGTCAGATTAGCTTTTGTTATCTTATTCGAGGTAACTTTTGTAACAATTATTAACTACTGTTCATTTCTGATACAAGATAACTTCATTAATTTTTGTCAGTTATTTAAAATTTTCATTATGGACAGATATATTCAGTTTTATAAAAGTCAAAGTCTACAATGAGTATTAGCTGAAAAATCTGAAAATATATGAAGTCACTTTGAAAGGTTAGATGTTTGAAGCACTATTATGTTCAGTGTTATTGCAGTTAGAAATAACAATTCTTCATTCAATATTGCAGCATGTAGTATTTGGGATATGTAAGTTGATTGATTTCCTGGTGCCTGATGTACCCGAAGCGTTAGAACTGAAAATCAAAAGGGAGCGATACTTAGCCAAGCAGGCCCTGGCTGACACAGATACCATAATGAAGGTCAGTCTCACTTTGGAGAATAATGTTACCTATATCTCAGTACACTGCAGGGTAACGACGCATTGTCTGGTAAAGTAGCTTATGCAATGTGTTCATTGTGTTGTGCTTCGAAAAAAAAAATTGATTAAAAAAATTAACCTTCTTTAATAATTGTTTTGCTGTTTTTTTCAAATGTAGATTGCTGTAAGTTGAAGTGATTGCTAAATCACAAATTTCATATACTGTACACCAATTTTTATTTGTGAGTTTTGGGACTTTAAATATTTGAAAATATCTCTCATTGTGAATTGATTAATTTTCATATATATATATTTTCCTTTAAAATATATTTCTTTGGATGCAAAATGAGTAATTGCGAATGGAATCCAAACTGAAGAATCATAGAGAACTGAAGGTGTCACAAATAAATGTTGATACAGCAGATTTACTTCAGTGAATTTTAGAATAGATTTTTATTTTGACATAACTGGAAACTTTTTATCATATATTTATAATGTTGATACAATTTGTGTATATATAGACCATACATCCAGAAGATGAGGTATGAATTCTCAATGTTGTTCACAAAATATGTGTTAGAATCTGAAATATCGGTAGAAAAGCATGAGTAATAAAGCATGGGACTTATCAAAGAATACACAAACAAATGATTTAAATTAATACAAATAGGAATTATATAAATACACATGTATACAGGAATATTATTTATAATTACAATTTTTTACAACAATCCATTTGTTTGCCAAGCGCATGCATTGCTAGCAAACCGAATATACTCTTATATAAATTTTCCCTGTATCCAAAATTCTTGATGAGAAATGTCATATACATGTGCATCAATAATTCTCAAGATGATGTAATAATGACCGTTTTGAATATGTATTGAAAATAAAATTACCAAAGAGTCTGTGCTGATGACAGGAGTAATCTGCCTATTGAATGTACATGTACCCTCTGTCTGATAGATGTACATTGAATCTCAGTCTACCTTAGAGTTTTGATTTATTTACAATGTAAAAAATAAAAAATGTTGTAATGAACAAAGCCTTGTTCACTGAGGCAATAAAAGTATTGGCTGTTATATCAGTTTAAGGAAATGCTGATAACAAGCATGCCTTTGTAAGACTGAGTTTTGTGGGTCCTGTGATGTAATGTTCGTGTTAGTTGTCTCCCTCCATTGTTGTTGTTCTAAAAATTGTGAAATTGTGTGAAACTTTTTGACTGATGTGCAGCTCAGAAATTGTAAGTTTCTTGTATGTGTTCTTTTAGAGATTAACTGTGACTTACAGACTTTGACAGTTTGATTTGCTGTGTTTCTATACTGTCATATCCTCAGAAATAACTGGCCTTGCCTCTATAATATGCTTGAACTCCTTTAAATAATGTTAAATAATTTGAATCACATGTTTTTGAATTAATTACAAGTATAGATGCAGTTTGAAATATTCTTTTAGGCACAAAAATTACGCATGAAACAAAAAGTAATTAGATGATTACTAATGCATCATGTTTTAATTCTACTGAAGTTTTTCTTAAAGAGATATGCATGAACACAGTTTCAACTGAATTTTTTAAATCAATGTTAACGTTTTACAATTCCTGACTAAGGCATATTATCTAATGATCAACAAACATTTGAACATAATCTATTGATTAACAAATGAAATACAGAACTTTAAGTTCTTCATAATGTAAACAAGGCTTGTGCCTTGTGTTTGTTTACATATAGAAAATATCATAAAATGAGACTGTCTAATACCAGGAAGTATTAAGAATTAACTTCTTTATTGAAATTATCTGCTTTGAATGAACATATGTTAGTAACTGTATATTAACCTTTGTGAACAAAAATGTGACACAGACTCTGTTTACATAACAAAGGTTTGGAGTTCTGGAAAACTAAAACTGATTAGAAAGACCTTAGTTAAATATTTGTAAAAATGGAAAATAAATTTGAACATTTTTAGCTGAAACTGTGTCCATGTCCCTTTAAGGTCTGAATTTTTAATTATTTTTTTTTTTCATTTGAGAAAATGCTTAGGTTGTACTTAAGAAGTATTTCTTGCTAAATGAACAGTACTCACACAGTGTTATTGACCTCCTATATTGACTTCTGTAGATTGCCCGGGGAGATGAGGAGGATGATGAGGAAGGTGTCCTGGTGTCCACTGTACCAAAGGGAGGGGGGTCCAGCCAGTCAGCTGTGGAGGACAAAGTCTAGCGTCCATTGTACCCCGGGGGACAGGTCCAGCCAGCCACCCCCCACAGTCCGGCGAACTAGTGTCATTGTCCCAATGGGATGCTAAAGCCAGTTATGGAGGACATTAATGTCCTACTTACTCTGAACTTCCCTCTTCATACTCTTAGATGTCTCAAACTTGATCAACTGTCGGGAGTGGAAAACTTAATGTTATGTCTTTCCTTCTTTTCAGTTTTGTGTGTATAGATTTTACAGTGGGTGTAGATGCAATACAGTAGATAAGATACAGATTAAATTGTTAACCTTCTTGTGGTTTATTTCACTCTTAAGTAGTTGTACTAGTTGTTTAGAACAACTTTTAATACAGGTATGAGCTTTATGATATACATATAAAATATGGTACATGTAATTACAATACTTCCACTATACATTGTTACATGTACATGTACTATTATACTATTATATGTGATATTGTTTAATTCTGTTGATGTGTGTATCAAATATATTAGAACTAGTTATTCACTTGTCTATACTTGTTTATTTTTTAGTTTTTATTTTTGTAAATAAAAGTAATTTCTGTGTACATTATTTAGAATTTTATTACATTTTACTTAATTCCACATTCCTCATATTATACAAATACTGAATCGTTATACTTACTTTGTTATATTAGAACAGCTAGTGTGATGAATACTATAATACTGTTCATATTGGGACCAGGTTTCATGTAAATATAAAAATGATGATTATACCTATGATGTATATACAAGAGAATTATGTAAGAACAGTTGGTTTAATGAAAACTTTTTAAAAAAAAGTTCATATTGGGATCAGGGGCTCGTAACATAAAGTTTGCTAAGTTTTTGACTTAAGTAGGGTTGTAAGTACGTTTTAGGCACAATTTTAGGACCTGTGTAAGTACTACTTAAGTATGTGTTAAACTGTAACATAAAGCGAACTTAGCTATGTCTTAGCTAAGTCATACCTATGTTAAAAATATTTCATACGAGTCAACCTATGGTTTTTCATTTTATGTAGATATATTGTTAAAAGTGAACCAGTTAGGGTTTAAATTAAATATACATGTATATCAAAATTGACGTCTTTACCTATCGGATTTAGTTATGTTAGATTAGATCTGATGATTCTGTTATAAATCATTCGGTGTATTTGAAAACAAATATACTGCATGGTCACACCGTAGCTATTCGTGGTTCATCGTAAATGTACAACTATTATTTATCGATCACTTGAGATGATTTCAGTTTACTTTTTGTTACTCTTTTGTTTTGACAAATGTTCACTTGCTTTGTTATTCTCGCAAACATAACAAGATAATCGACCTTCTATTTACTTGAAATTGAAACTTTAAAAAGGTTCAAAACATTTTGACCCCCCCTTATGTATCAGGCCTTGCATGTCAGTAGCAAAGACTGCATATGTTTTATGATATACTCATTTGCAATTTATCCAAGGCTGCAAAAAAAATTCGGGGGATTTTTTTCGTATGTCTCCACTTATCAACTCTCTCCCTCCCTCTCTCTCTCTCCCTCCCCCCTCTCTGGAACTATAGTGAGCACTGACTAAAACGCGCTTATCGTGTTCTACAATTATTCTACTTTACAGATACTTTTTTTATCACTCTTTTGGTCATCATCATCTTTCTTTTCTTTTTTAAAAAAATTATTTCATCTCATATTTTCAAAGTGAACAGAATGATCCATGATTTTTTACTGTGTTCAATTTTTTTCTATAACCTAGGTCCCACTAATCCCCCCCCCCCCCCCCCCAATGACGAAAAACTTAAATTCTTAAATTGGCATCAAATATAGATAATTGTTTTCCATAATATGAATAGAGGACTGTTTTAACATCGAAAGTCAACATTAAATAATTCCAAATATAAGTATAAGAAAGTTAAGATATACATGTACTTAAGTCACCTCTATTGGCCGCCTAAGTTTCACTAAGATTGCCAAATCTTAGCACGCTTCTAGTTACGGTGTTAAGTTTTAGACTGTACTTAAGTCCTACTTAAGCACGGTCTTAGACTTAAGTAACCTTTATGTTACAACTCCCACGTTTATTGTTACAACAAATATTGAAAGGAATTTTTTCTCTCACTTTTAGTTTTGAAAGGCTCAGATATTCATATTTCTGATATTGCTAAATTATAGCTGTAGAAATATTATGCTAAGTTTAAAATATTTTTAGACATGGTAGTGCTAAAATAGCTAAGTAGACATGATAGTGCTAAAAAAGCTTAGTAGACAGGTCATGCGCGGATCTAGAGGGGGGGTCGGAGGGGTCAGGACCCCCCCCCCCCCCTGGAATTTCCACTGGAATGTATATACTTAAGCAAGAGAGAAGTCACCTTGGACCCCCCCCCCCCTGGAAAACGCTGACCCCCCTAGTGAACATGAATATGTGTGAAATGATTATGAAATGTGCGAGATTTGAGGCAATAGAAGTCATTGCCTCCATGGTATGCTTACACTACTAATTAAGCTCTTTCGAATGACACCAAGGTCAATGGCCTTCTGACCTTGACTATGACCTATGTGCAAACAAAAATAGCTTTTTCGAACTTTGTTGCCACTGAGTGCATAGTGTCTCTTGTTACATATAGCATGTGTGATAATGTTAAACCTGTTTTTATTTCTTAAAGCAATAACAATATTCCATATATGTATGTTTATGAGACAGTCCATAAAAATGCTTTATTTAATGCTACGACAAAACGAATAAAACTTGTGAAAATGCATATGTAGCGTACTTATAGGAACATTTTTCCCCAGGGTAATGAGTAAAGATTTTCATTGAAATATACATCTTCATTTATTAACTTTTAAAAGTAATAAATCACCATTGGTTGCCACAATAAACAGATACTACAGTAAAGATTTCATAGGGTACATACATTACTGCCTTCATTTCTGATATTTTCACTTTATCTCTGTATTGAATCCTTGGTTCTTTAATTAATCATCTATTTTAAAAGTTATCTTTGTTTACTTATACATTGTGTACATGTGTTACAAAGCAGAACTTAGTGAATGCATGTATACATTACAAATATTCACCTTATGGACTTTATGTATTATCACTATTATCTGTCTTATATGAGATGAAGTACATTGTTCTCTTGTTAAGATCTTGCTATTTTTGATATTTGTTGTGTATTTATCTCACAGATCTCCCTGATTTTATTTGTTATATATACTGTTATTATTTGGTCTGTTGGGCTTCTGTGGAAGTGTTACAAGGACTACGCATAATGCTATGATTGAATCTCAAATGTTTATTTTATACTCTTAAACCAATTAAATACACCTTAGCAAGTAGAATTATTGTGTTAATCAATTATAGTAAAATTCTAAAAAAAAAAAAAAAAGTGCTTGAAGAAAAGGATGTAAAGGTTCTGTCTGTTGTAAAAATGACACTAACTGTCAAGAAGTTTTCCATATGAATAACATGACTTGGTGTAAAATGCAGAGAATGGAGACTCAAAAACAAAGTGTCACGGAGTGCAAGAGGGGGAGCTTAATGTCAATTTCAAAAGGTTTTCCAAAATTAATTCAAAAGCACTTTGTTTGCCCGTTTTTTAGCTCTACTGGTCAGAGACCAGAAGAGCTTATGCAATAGTAAGGTGTCCGTTGTCCGTTCGTCTGTCTGTCTGTAAACAATTTTTCAAAATGCTACTTCTCCTACAGTTTTGATCTGATTTCAATATAACTTGGCACACAAGTAGACTACACTAAGACACATAAAATAGTGCATTGATTTTTTATTTTGATTGACGGTGTTGCCATGGTTACTAAATATAGAATTTTCTTTGAAATTTCTTTAAAATGCCACTTCTACAGTTTTGATTTGATTTCAATATAACTTGGCACACAAGTAGACTACACTAAGATACATACATTCACAGGTAAGTCCAGGTAAGTCCCAACAAGAAATCAGACTATAATTGCTATCAAAACACACTTCACACCTGTTGTTCTATACTAATTACCAAATGTGTGCAAAACGGGAACACACCGACTACACTAAGATACATAAATTAAATAGTGCATCGGCTTTTGATTTCGATGAATGGTGTTGCCATGGTTGCTAAAAATATAATTTTCTGTGAAATTCATTTAAAACTCTACTCCTCCTACAGTTTTGATCTGATTTCAATGTAACTTGGCACACAAGTAGACTACACTAAGATACATAAAATAATGCATCGGTTTTTGATTTCGATGAATGGTGTTGCCATGAACTTTCTGTGAAATTTCTTTAAAATGCTACTCCTTCTACAGTTTTGGTCTGGTGGCAATGGTTTCTTTTCTCATCCTTTGTTATAAATACAAACCAGTAGAGGTACAGTCTGAACAGAGACTTCTGGTTTTGTGACATTCTAGTAAGTTCTCACAGATAATTAAAAATTGAGTTGCCAAATCTTATAAACAAGTGCTGAAATTGCAACAACATGCCCCAGCTCTTGCATCATCGAGCTCAAGAGACAAATACATTTTAAAAGGACACTCCATTTTGGAGCTTCTATCCTCCACATTTTACACCAAGCCGAATAATATCTATGCTGTAAATAGCAGGCAAAGCCTAGAGCAGCTTGGTGTTAGCTGCTACATGATATCAGGGAGTGACAGCTAGAGACCTAGTTTTTATACATGTACTTTGATTGGATGTAGAAGAGCATCTCTGGGAAGTCATATGAATTTAAATGGCTCACTACCTTGTATAAATACTGGTAGTAGTACAATTCTCTGTCATCTTTTGACTTTCAGTGAGGCGTGGCATTCTCGAAGCTACATAATGAGCGTCTCTCAAATTCTCATTGGATAAGAAATTAATAACATCAGCCACTTTAAACGATGAGATGGCTTAAGCCCCACTTCTTTGCCGTACGAAACGCTTTAATAGGATCCTTTGCTACACTCGTTGACATTCCCCCGAATTTTAATCCCACGTATATTTCAACAGTGAATGAAAGGCTGTGAAAATTTTAGACGCTAATTATGTAACGTCGGGAATGCCAATGCTTTACTGAAAGTCCAAGGATAACAAAGAGCTGTACTAAATAGCATCTGCACCAAACTTTACACTATTACGTTGATGTTTTATTATCAATTTCGGTTAAGTGTGGAGTTTTGCATTACGCCACAACCTTATTTGATGACAGCTGCGCTCAAAGTAAATTATACACGCCTCCTAACCGCAAGCTTTACGACTGGAAGTTTCTTCTAATCCGTGATTAATTGCTCGTGCAACAGACTATTTCCGTGTCAATGTTGATAATATGAGTTGACCAATCACACAGCGGGGGCGTGAATTGTTTACGCTAAGCGCATCTGTCAAACTAGATCGTGACGTAAGTAAAACTTCACATTTAACTGCAATCTATAATAAATGTTCTATTTAAAGCCCAAACGTGCCAGAATCCAGGCTTGGAAAGGTTATTATGGATGTTGTTAATCACTTACATATTCTTCTTAAACTTCCACGTTTGATAAGAGAGACTATACAGTCTCTTCATTAAAGGAGAGGGTCAAACAAGCTGACATAAATGCCCTAATGCTTAAACAGAGATGAAATTGGAAAAAAATTAATCAAAGCACAATTTTCTTTGATAGTTTGTATGTTACCTGGTAGTTAAAATTAATGTACATACTTAGTGTAAATTCTACACAATTTACAAAACTTAAAAGTATTCGTCTGTGAATAGCATGAACATACCAAAAAAAAGGGCAAAAATGACGGATGTTGAAATCGATATTTAAATGTTTGAGGGGCATTATACGGGTAGTAAGCGACTATCCTTTCAGAAGTGGAAAAAAACCTTGGACCAGAGAGATCACACGATCACCATGTACTGGTTCTAGCTGACAAATCAGGTAAGGCCCCCAACAACGTTGTCTTAAAGGTTCATTATAAAATGGTATTTCAGGGGGATTTCGATTTATTCCACTAGTAGAATCCAATGTATACTACACAAAGTTCCCTTTTTAAGGAGGAAATTTTTCAAAATTATATGTTAGTTTTAAATATATTCCTAATAAAACAAATTGAATTTTAAAATATTATTTAATACCAGATTCCTGATCTACATGAAAATCTTAAATGTACGTAATGGGATCTACAAAGCCTCTTTCTTTACTCCTAAGTAAACATTGACAGAAAAGAAAGGAACACGTCAAGAGTACTATACAGCAACACATTTCAGAGGTGGTGTTAATCATGTGTTGAAAAGATGTGGATACTTTTTTTAAAATAAATTCCAAGGAACTTTCAGAAAATGATTTTTCTAAAACCAAAACCAATGGCATAAAAACGTACGACTTGTCTTTTCAAGTTTTATGCAAAGACGAAATTGTCCTAATGGTTCGGGGGAGAAACCGTTACTTTTTACAAGACTGTCACAGAAGGAGAAGGGACCATCTGCAATTAAAAAATATTTGAACCCTTTGTTAAGGCTTTTAAACTCGAACAAGGTGTATCAACGAAAGAGAGAACAGAAACACTGTATGAAAACGCTATATAATTTATTAAACTTAACAAAAAGTGTCTAAACAAAATAAAAAAAGGTCAGTGTTGGTCAAGGACTCATCTCTTCCTCCCACATGACTGGTGACGCGCTTAACGAATGTACCCCGGATGTGACGTCAGTAGTATAGCCCCCAGATGTGGAAGGGAAGAAGAAAGAACTATTTAAAGAAGATTCAGGTGGTCTATTTATATTTCGAATTCCTTCAAGTTGGTAAATGAATCCTACCATTTTCATGCAACTTTCAATTTGGTGATCATGAAAATGGTATGCCATCACTGACCATGGCAGAAGAGCGTTCATTAATTCTTTCCTGACAGCAGTTGAAACGCAAGCAATAATTCTTTCTAACAACGACAGATAGGGAGACAAAATTTTGTTCATTTCGATATTTTTCAAACTTTTAAATGTACACGAGGCACTACAGCGATGAAGAGAACTATGAAGCTCTTTAAGTTGAACCAAGTCCTGCTGATTTTCGCACTTATCAACAAATGGTGCAAGCTGAAAAAGCAGATCAATTCTCTTGCTGCATATTGCAGGGACCTTTGCAGTGAAAACTTGATGAAATGGTGTTGTCAAAGCCGCCAGATTTACTGACCCCTTAATGTTTTCGTGAAGTCTCTCGTACACTAACCATGGAATGTTTGCCCTGAGTGACCATGCAAAAAGTCCGGCCAAGGCTTGGTCCCAACGTGCCCCGAAATATCGCATGTTGAAATGGTGTTCTCTTGTTAAATCCTCAGTGTGATCATGAACTGACGAACGACTACAGAGTGGTTTGTGCGTCACGGACGATACTTTACACATCGGCCAAGGGTCTTCTTCAAGGATCAGTTCTACCACGTGTTCCATTGCTTTGCCTTGATAACTCTGACAAATTTTCAGAAAATAGTAGGTTTCTGACTCCGTTCCTTCCTCGTTCTTTTCTTTTTTAATAAATATCGGTCCACCTGGTTTAAAGATATCATATTTTGGAAGTTCTGTGTACGTTTCTTTTGTAATAAGGAATCTTGACACGGATTTATCATCGGATTCGTAATCCAAGACCTCGAGAAAGTATATGTTCATGTTGCTTAAGAGATTTTCTTTCTCCTCCTCGGGGAAAGTAAAAGAGAATTTGATATTCCCAACAACGGACTCGTCATCAAGTCCCACGGAATCGGATCGGTCCGGTCGGAACCATAATCCCTTGATCCTAGGATAGTTTCGGAGAACGGAGTAATCCTGTGTGGGCAGCAAGGTCGTGGCTTGGTGGGTAATGACTGGGACTGCTTCATCGAAAGGCAGAACACAGCTTACACAGTCGAACTTCGTGTAGTACAGTTGAAGGAGGAGCGGCCATTCCTCGCCTCTGATGGTTTCGGGTATAAGATGACACTGTTTGCTGTCAGCCGCTGGGAGCCAGAGCGTCAGAGTTTCGTCCTCTAGGTAAACATCTGTAATCTTTGTCGCTACGTGGGGTTTCTGGAAAAGAAACATATTATTTAATACTAGTATTTAAATACAATTTGCCTAAAATACGGAGTTTGAATATTGGATCTGAACGAGAAAAAAAACCAGAATAATCTATAGTTCAGTAAATTGTTATCTGTGTAAGGGTTAGGCAAATGAATGAAATTATCTAAATAAAAGAATTTATCACGTACAGAAGATATTTTGTTTCATAATTTCATATCGTGTTTTTTGATTATACATGTAAAACATCTATGATTTGGCTATTAGTAACGTTGGGGAAAAACTTTAAAAAGAACCAAACTAAGCGCACCGACGTACTTCAAATACTGTCCAGTAACTCACTAACTGACCATACTGTAGAGGACGCGTGACTTTTATCGTAGACCACTGGAAATTATTTGTCAATTAACTGGAGTTTAATTAATGTACAGATAGGTGTTGATTGACCACAGCAATCATAATTCATCTTTATCCAGTCCAGATCTTGCAATCTGTCTAGAACTTTTAGAACAAAGATTTTTTTTTTTTTTTGCAAAAACCAGTACATTTGTTTAAATTAACTGATATAGCGTATAAGAATAACGTGAATGGAATACCAAATTGTGTATTGACTTATACTGGTATGTAAACCGTTTGACTGACAATCACACCTTGTCACTCCATGATGTAATCAATTCATCTGATAAACGAGTACATACTTGACACGGGTCCAGCTCTGATAGCTCACAGTTTAACCATTCTATAGAGACAAGATCTATATAGTTAAATCACACGCTCTGACGGCGGCAAAGGCTGCTTAAATCACATAAGTTTTAAGACAATAATTGTTGAATGATGTGACTTTATCTTAATTGCTAATCAGTACAGAACTAATTTAACATTACAACACTTCATATTTTATTGTCATTCAGGCTTGGAATAGTTTGCATTAAAAATTAAAAAAAAAAAACGTGATCGAAAAAAAGTAGGTCATGAATTCGACAAAATTGGAATTATCTGAAATGCAAGCAATTGTGCAATCAGTTGCAAACCTCCAGGGTCTTCAATTCGTCTTCTTTTTTATAGAAAGAATTATTGGTGCTTAGCCTTCGGAAGCAGGTCTTTGTCGCTGATCGATAAAATAGTAACTATATTATACACGAGATGGGTTTAACACGCAGTTTTGCTCACTGTTAGCTTTCCTGTGTACGAATTACGCAATAATAGATTTTTTACTAGTACTAACTGAGTGCATAAAATACAATTTATTGCAATATATGTTTAACATACTCGATCATATTCGTCTGCATAAAACTCTTGTTTTTTACATCGTGACATTAACGAAAAAAAATCATTTTGGCCACGCTGTATCCATCATAGATAAATAGTCTCAACTCCTCACAAAAAAATGAGGTACATGTAATAAAGTTTCTCTAAGCACCAATATAAAACTGCATGATGGCGTAGAATGTTCTTTGCCAGCAATAAGGATATTGAGTTGTTTTTTTTCAAGCTTCAACGCGACAGTGTTCTTATCTCTCTGTTTAGACAAACTTAAACTTGTTTGAAAAAAAAAACTGTGTCTGTATGAGTTTGTAAGTTTCAATATCATTTTTCCACCCCCGGACCGCAGTTAAACTGTTCGTAAGCTGATCTTTAAATCAGGCACTACAATTTACATGTTTGAGAAACTAATTTGATCATTCTATGTGTAAATGCCCCATAGAAAGACGTGTTAGACAAAATACTTAAAATCGAAGTAAAACCATCCTAGAAAGACTTGTTTGACAAAATGCTTAAAATCGAAGTAAAACCCTCCTTTCTTAAATAAATTATAAGGCAATAAAAAGTTCAGATTATGAGATTAATAGCTTTGAAGTAGAACAGCTAAATGCTTCTGGATTCAGGAGTCAAAGTAAGAAAATTCAATCTTTCACAAAATGAATTTTCCTAATGTATAACCCGACCCCCAAAGAATATTGACGCTTTTTTGTTGGAAATTGACGTTCATTGAACTTTAAAAGACGATAGTGTTTTATTGGATCACATTGTAAATGTTAAACTTGTAATTCTCTAGCTGATAAGCTGACTCAAGAGGTTCTTCGATCTTATTTTCATTTAAAAGAATATGAAGCAACTTGAAAATTTGGTGGGCTTTAAATTGTTTTCGTATTTTTATTATACGTTTAATGTCCCTCGATACATTGCATGGATAGGCAAATATTATTTGCCTTTTGAGGGTAATTTGCTTGATTAAACTCGAGTTCTTTTCTGTCAATTTTTTGAATTTTTTTTCAAAACCATTTAGACAATTTGAATTTCAAATCATTACCAGCTGTGAATCCTTGAATAAGTTGAAAAATGAACTGATACTTGGAACGTGAAAAAAAGGCTGAATATACATTATACTACGTAGTTTTGATAACAAAAAATGTTTACATTACGGTTTAAATAAATTCACGGTTATAATGATTTACAGTATCATATTAATACTGAAGGTTCTTTAAATTCGTGACCTCGAAGTTTTCAATAAATATACCTACAAAGAGATATAAAAAATATTAATGCAGAACTTTTGAAATTATTTCATCCAATCCACAGTGCCCAAACAAGGACTGATAAAATATATGCTCTTAGCCACAGGGGCCGGTAACATACTGTATTTGATTTTACGCATTAAATCACTATATACATGTATACTGAAAAAGAAATTCTCTTTTTCACTGTTTTTGTACATATAGTGATTATGTAAAATCAAACATAGCATGTTACCAGTCCCCGTTCTCTTAGCATCCTACTTCATCATTTAGTAAAGTTGCTTCAAAATCAAATATATGTTTATCGGGGAAAAAATAAAAATATTTTTAAACAAAATTAAAATACAATATTATATGTGCAAATAGAATGCATTACCTTTATGTTAGATTTGGATCGATCCAAGTTATTATTAAAACAATCCGTTCTCTCCATCGCTTATTCATTCATGGTAGAGGCAAGTTTACTCCAAGTCATAAGAACACTACAGTGTTTGTGTTTCAATTCATCATAGAAGCAAGTTTACTCAAGTTATTAGTACGTTTTCTTCGTCTATATAGAATCGCAGTGGATTACTGTGAATTAGAGTGTCCACCGTTTGAATAACGTAAGAACCGTGTTTCCTTGCAGACTGCATTAAGACAAGGAATGTGATTCCAGGGTGTTTAAACACACGTCACCTGCGATTGATTGGTTTATCTGATCAGTGAACAGGTAGTCCTCTATCACCGGCATGTCAAGGAACTTTAAAATGCCCACAAAAATTGATTTTTTTTTTCTTATTTTTAAAAATACTATAGACTTTGCCTCTTGATAACAATTTAAAGCTGTTTGTTAAAGCAATAAAACTTTCGTCTTTTCGAATACGTTACCAAGAATTCTATATTTGCCCAGCTACTTACTTTATCTTCGTATTGTTTGCAGGTTACCATATGAACCTCTTTTGAATCAAATGTTATTGGAAACATTATGCATGGTTAGTCTTAGTCGTTGGTTCTTTTTGTGAAACACATCCTACTGTTTATTATTATATTCATGGGCGTAGGAGGGTCGTGCGAATATCGTATTTTAAATTATCAGATTATAGTATACTACAGAATACATAGATGTTTTATAGTTGTATCTCTGCAGGATAGCGTCTAACCCCCTTTTTTTGTTTGTCAAGAGGCATTTGCTTGGCAACCCCCCCCCCCCCCCTTCCCAACTGAAATTTGTTTGAAATTGTTTCCTACAGACCTGAATTTTGTTAAAATGAAAGTATTGCTATTGTTCTTGTTGAAAGTTCTCAGACAAACATGACAAGGAAGGGGGGGGGGTCTTTGTTCTGAACTCACATGTGACATTTTAATACCTACTGGTTTTATCTGTACAGAGTGACAGAATTACAAAAACTCCAACAAAATTAACATGAATTGATTACCACAGCTTGTGCTAGCTTTTATATTTAATTACTTTAATAGAACATTTGTGAGGATAATATGTATATCTATTGCCTTCACACATGGTGACCTACGTAAAATATGTTTAGAATATAAAGAGGCGCAGGTGGTCAGGTACACCACACAAAGCCAGCCAATCCGAGAGCATTACAAGAACACAGAGATTCCGAGAACAGTACAAAGATAGCAGAGAAATTCTGTAAGTTTTTTTTTTTAAATTCAAAAGATTTTCTTGAAATAATTTTTCGCTTTAGTTGTATGATGTGTGATATTCAATTTCAATATTTTACAAACTTATCTCTTAACTTTACATGTAGTACATAATTATATAAAGTGACAAAATGGACCATCTTCTGGGGGGGGGGGGGGAAATGAACTACATGTACATGTACTAAGGGCACCCAGTAGACTAAAAATCAATGGTTCTAGTAAACAGTTATTGACTGGGTATGAGGGCAACATACATTTAGGATTTGTTGGATGGCAACATTTTCACCTTCAGGTCCGACAAAGTCATATATTGCCCTCATACCCAGTCAATAACTATAATATTCATAGCTTATTGCCAATTAAAATATTATAAATGGCTATTCCTTTGAGTGTAATTATAAGTATTTTACATTCGGAAATGACTTAAAAGAGAATTCCTGGGTTATTTAAAAAGATATTCAGTTTTGTTTATTTCCATTTCTATAAAGTAGCTTTAAATTTATTGTAGTATTGATCTGTAAGTTATCGAAGATGTACCTTTCTTTTATGTAATAGACTAAATTGTAGTACTTTTCAAAAACCTGTTCCGCGTGTATATACTTTAGAGTAAATGAAGTTATAAGGCGGACTGATTTGATAAGAAATAAAGAAAATTTTTCACTTATAATTGATTGAAGTGAATTTTTTTTTTAATTTTCTGGATAAACAGATGGGGGATGAAACTACGCAATTATTTGATGGATATGGTGTTATTTCTATTTAGAAATAGTTTAGATCTCTGTCTGATACACACATGTTGCTCTTTTATTTTGTTTTGTCAATGATACTTTTTTTCAACTTCAAATTAGAATTTTTTTTTGAAAACGACACATATGGTGATTCGTAATCTAATCAAAGTTAACGCGTTGGAAATATTTTTTTTATTTCTTCCCTTATGCTATAGTATTTTATATATTAGAAGTCATGACGTAGAAATATAGTAATAAAGTATGTTACACATGTTACCATTAAGGTCAGATTTGTGTAGATATATATAAAAGTTCAGGTTTTCAATTCATCAATGTCGTCTTGATAAATAGAGTAAAAGTATTAAAACGCACTCAAAGCGAATAATTATTGCGAACTGGAGAGATTCAAACAACTAATTAAGGTAAAGGTCAGTAAACCAATTCTGGTGAAGAGAAGACATAAATAATGCATTGTATGGTTACTTTGAAAAAGATAGAAGCATTATCACGCTTGCAGTCTTAAGTGATTTATACGTTATAACTTATCAAATTTTCATCTAGAAATGTCATTTATTTATTGCTACTTACACGGAGGTATTTACGGTTATGAATATTCTAGTAGCTACTAGTATTTCAAGTTAATAAAATTTCAAAGTCGATAATATATAAGTAGGGTAATCTTTTAAAGCTCAAATACCTTGTAATAAGTATAACAAATACATGTATATACAAAATATTTAACTTGTCTTAAATGATTTTATTGTACGTTAATTAGTACAATTAATGTTGATTCAGTCTGTTAATATATGTATCATAATGATACTCATCGCAAGACAATTTTAAAACAATTTTTTGTGTCATTTAATTTTAGTTAAAGAAACCAAGATTTTGATTTAATATCAGTTTCCCCGGTTCCTTTATTATACACATTTAAATTTTTGGCCATTTTCACTTTAAAAGAAAAAAAACAAGAAACTAGAAAGAAGCGATCACAAAAATCCAATCATGTAATATTTTCTTTCAGTCTTCAACAAAACATGCAGGGCCGCACGGTTGTTCGAATCACTTTCTTGCTGGTATTATTGTCAGTGGTGGGAGAAGCCTACCACACCGGGATAAACCATCTCATTAGGAAGAGAAGCACCGTCTGCCACGACAAGGAGGGACATATCTGGTACCAGAATGAGTGCGCCTGCAGGGACCGGAAGTATAAATGCTGTTGTGGATCCGAGGGGATGTTTTGGTGTGAAGAAATGATCTCTTGTTATTAAAACATTTTTTGTTTTGCAAGTTTCACTTAACTGATAACAGTTATTATGCCTGAATATAAATAATTTCAATAAATATTTTTACATTTCTGTTTTTTGAAGTAAAATTAACCTTGGAAGGACTTATAATACTACAATGTAAGTACAGCCTACTCCGGATATATTGAAATTCAGGGGACCATGCAAATTATTTCAATATATCCGTAATTCAATATAAGCGAAATCGTGAAGCCGCCATTTTTTTTTAAATTAAAAGTTCAATCCCGACGTTAAAATATAGAACAAACCCGAACAAATTAATTTTGTCTCATCGTTTACCTATAACAGTGTACAGATGAAATGGAATATTAGTCCTTGAAAGTTTAAATAAAATTGTTTCTTTCTTTTTTATCGATAAGACAATCTGCAACTTCATTATTATTCCCCGATCGCATTTATTTACATTTGGGAGAAAAATCACCGATGTCAAACTGTTCAGTACTGCTGAACGCTGCATGTATTTCATCGTAAGTGTACTCGGGTTGATCTCTTAGCTATTTCGAATTAGGGTTTATCATTAGCCATTAACAGTACGTATTTAATTTGAAAGTTCAGTTTTTTCTAGATCTTTGGGAGTTACTATGTTGCCTTTAGCTTAAATACTTCCGTATTATATACATGGAAATAAAGAATTTAGCATTGAGTAAGTTTATTTCGTAAGAGCATGCAGTATAAAAACACATAAGGTGAAAACTTCAGTATTCACACCTTTGTATATCAATTGGTCAATCAGGCATAATTTCTGCCAACAACCGTAATGACAGCCGCCAAGGAGTACTTCAATATAACCGTTATGAAAACAACTCATTATCACCTGTGGGGACCGGTGTCGCATAATATTTGGTCCGCCTCGTTTAAAGGTCCGGCCGGACCAAATACGATAACATATTAGGTCCGCCTTTTATAAGAAAAGGTCCGGCCCGTATAAGAAAAGGTCCCCCTATGTTTTAAGGTCCGGGTGGTGCAAAATGTTTTAATCTTGACTTTAACATATGAAATTAAAGAAAGTTAGTTTATACAATAATATAAGAAGGATTTACCCTGTTGTGTTTTATTTTTTGTACAGCATACATGTACCTCTAGACAATAATCTACTCGTTTAGTGTGCGTTAAGCAGTGCCGTTTAGGACCATGATTTCTTATAAAATAATGCCACAATTATTGTGCAAGTGTTTGTTTTTCCTTAGAATTTTCTTTGTGTACAAGAGTACGATTAAAGGTGTGAAATATGTCGGTGTGTATAGATAATAAAACAATGGGGGTGTGACGTATTTGTTTACCTGACAGGTACCCTCAGGTAGAGCCCGCGGCAGATGGCGCTGTCATTGAATGGTCGGTGAACCTAATGGCCATGTGTTAGCTTTACATATCAATAGATTTGATTTTTTTCAAATTAATAAATTATGCTAAGGAACAAAATATTCATGCATACACTTCAAAACTGCGACATTTATAATAATTATAATCATATAGTCTTTATTTGAATATTAAAAGCTAAATATGGCGTATCTGAGCTAAAACTTAAAAATACTAGATTAAGCGTAGATTTACATGAGATTTGATATTTATGTTCAAATTAAAATTTTCACCGATATTGAACTTAAATATCATCACGTTTCTATTAGTTAAATTCAAACTAATTGAATTAAAACTGTGTCTGATATTTAAATTCCGAGTCGATAAGAATCGGTCATTGTTTTAAATCTCTGATATCTATATATGAAACGCAATTGATTTTAATTTCGGTAATGAAAATTTTAAAGAATAAATTATAGATTGTTTAGTAAATCACATGTCTTGGACATACGTTCGGCGCAGTCTTTGACATTTAATTTAGTGAACATTAAATGTAATGAAAAAATTGCATGCTCATTAAAAGTCTGTTAACTAGACTTAGTGCTTCATGTACAGATGTATATATACAGAATTTTTATATTAAAAATGTTGTGTATAATAATTTTTTTCAAAAATCCATTTCTACGTACATGTACCTGGTAAACATTAAATTGCTGGAGAGGTAGCTAGCAAAAATTCCGGAAATGAAAAGAAATTATATCGGGAAAAAAGAGAAATTGTCGGAAATAAAATAAGGAAATGTCGGAAATGCCATGGCGATTTCCGGAAATGAAATGCAGCAGTCCTATCTTTATCTAAAGTACCAAAACAAATTGATAGAAAAATCTTTTCTTTATATTTTTAGTCTGAACTTATAAAAAAAACGCCTTATATGATTTTGAAGAAATTTCTTATCCCAAGTGTGGAGTTTAATACTAAGACCGATAAAGAGTACATGTAATTCTCTGGTTTCCTGTAGTATTCAAAATTACCTTTTGTTTTCTGTTTATAATCATATTTTGGTCCTTTATTTGTGGATAGTGTAAAATATAACCTAATATTTCCATTTCTAATTTTTTTTTCTGTGATAACTCTTTGAAAGTTGTCGGAGTTCAATTCTTGGTAATTCTGCCGGGATGTAAATTAGGCAGGTCGATAGGTCAGGATCTAAGGAGGCCTGATATGCATGCAAATCTCGTGCTCATCTGTCTCTGTGACTGACGCTAAGGAGGCGAACTATGCATGTAAATCTCGCGCGGCTGCCAATGTGTTTGACTTCAGTGGGCGAGGACTATTGAAATTGGCATTGAAGTCCTCGTGTAATCTAAGTCTGTGTCTACATTTTTAAAGTCTAAATATACAATTTTATTCACAATGAAATGGAAATAATTTATCCCATGTTTCCCACTATCGTTGATGCCCTGGCATACTATACTAACTAGACACTGATTCCTTAAACATTGAATCCGATCTCTATTTACATTTACTACAGAAACAAAATACATGATTGTAATGTTCAGTTAAAGACTAAAGCAGCTCACTCTATATGGAAAACATATACATCAGGGGATTGTTTTACAAAAGAACTTACGACTCAGACCAAAAACTTAAGCTGATTGTATAATTTTATAAAATTAATGATTCTTTTTTAAATAGCTGGCATGAAAATATCTTATTAAATTCTTTTTTAAAGATTAAAACTATTATCAAATCAACGTACAATAAAAAGTTATGAGCAGATTGAAAGGTCTTAGATTTTTTGTTTTTCTTTGGAAAACGGGCCCCAGAATTATAGTTTAATGGCTTGGATCTAATTTATTCTTATAAAAATATCCCTCATACTCGTCATAACGAAAAGCATAATACATGTAAATATAATTTTTTTGCAGAAAGAAAAATAGAAATTATTACACTTTTTATTGTGACTGTTGCAGAATGCGGGATAATCTTGTATTGCAAGAGCAATTAAATTTTGAAATCTTGTCAGTAGCCATAACTGTAAATTATTTTTTTTATTATAATAACCGACATGAAGCCTTTAGCGAATAGTTGTCCATTTTTTTTAAATCAATAGAAAAAAATATAATTTATCTTCATCTATGAATTATACCTTTTCTTTTTATAAAGCTGGCGGAGAGGGATCTCCAGTGTAAAATTCTTTAAAATTTTATTAACATTCTATACAGGAAACAGTAAGAATACATTGATTTAAAATAATCTAGAAAGGACGGATGGCTTGATTTGTTAAATGTACCAGAATATATCATGTTCAGTACCAATATACCCCTGATGACCTACGCAAGAGTTCTCAAACAATTCTCTATACGAAAGCTTAGAACTTTAATGATGTCCTTAAATTAACCTTTTAAAAGTCATCAGTCATTCTCCGTGGTAAGCATGAGGAAAATAATCCAATCTGGTCCATGAAAGATTCTTGGAGTTCGATTTTCATATATGCTCAAAATTACGCATGTGCTGTTCCGGATATTACCTAATTTAGTTTTGGATATTTATATTGTAATGAATATTTCCAGTATTAGTTAGAAAAATATAATACAAAGTACCTCGGGCGATGAAGTGTGTGTGTTGGGGAGGGGGGGGGGGGCTTTCTTATATCTCTAATTGCCCATTGCAAAGGAAATTTTATGCAGGGTTTATTTTCGTATAGCATAAGAATCAGAGAAAGGGACATGATGGACCTTAAAGCGCAACATAATATATAAGGTCCGCCCTCTGTATTTCAGATATCTTTATGTTATAAAGGGAAATTTTCGGACAGGGTTTATTTTCGTAGCTAGATAAACTAGGGAAAGAGGCAGGGGGACCTTAAAACGCATTTATCAGAAAAGGTCATTTCAAGATATCTTTGAGTCATAAGGGGAAATTTTTTAACAGGGATTATTTTGGTAGCGTAAAAACTAGAGAAAGAGATAGGGCGGACCTTAAAACGCAGTTAGTAGAAATTGTCCGCCCTGTGTATATCAGATATCTTTATGTTATAAAGGGAAATTTTGGACAGGGTTTATTTTCGTAGCTTTATTATCTACAGAAAGAGACAGGGCGGGCCTTAGAACGCAATTATCAGAAAAGGTCCGCCCTCTGTATTTCAGGTATCTTTAAGTCATACATGTAAAAGGAAATTTTTGGACGGGGTTTGTTTTCGTAGCTTAAAAAAACTAGAGAAAGGGACAGGGCGGACCTTAAAACGCAAATATCAAAAAAGGTCCGCCCTCTGTATTTCAGGTATCTTTAAGTCATAAAGGGAAATTTTTGGACAGGGTTTATTTTCGTAGCTTAAAAACTAGAAGAAGAGACAGGGCGGACCTTAAAACGCAGTTATCAGAAAAGGTCCGCCCTCTATATTTAAGATATCTTTGTGTTATAAAGGGAAATTTTTGATATGGTTTATTTTGGTAGCTTAAAAACTAGAGAAAGAGACAGGGCGGACCTTAAAACGCATTTATCAGAAAAGGTCCCCCCTCTGTATTTCAGATATCTTTATGTTATAAAGGGAAATTTTTGGATATGGTTTATTTCCATAGCTTAAAAACTAGAGAAAGAGACAAGGCGGACCTTAAAACGCAGTTATCAGAAAAGTTCCACCCTGTGTATTTCAGATATCTTTATGTCATAAAGGGAAATTTTTGGACAGGGTTTATTTTCGTAGCTTAAAAACTAGAGAAGGAGATGGGCGGACCTTAAAACGCAGTTATCAGAGAAGGTCCGCCCTGTGTATTTAAGATATCTTTCTGTCATAAAGGGAAATTTTTGGACATGCTTTATTTTCGTAGCTTAAGAAATAGAGAAAGAGACAGGGCGGACCTTAAAACGCAGTTATCAGAAAAGGTCCGCCCTGTGTATTTAAGATATCTTTCTGTCATAAAGGGAAATTTTTGGACATGCTTTATTTTCGTAGCTTAAAGACTAGAGAAAGAGACAGGGCGGACCTTAAAATGCAGTTATCAGAAAAGGTCCGCCCTCTGTATTTCAGGTATCTTTAAGTCATAAAGGGAAATTTTTGGACAGGGTTTATTTTCGTAGCTTAAAAACTAGAGAAAGAGACAGGGCGGACCTTAAAACGCAGTTATCAGAAAAGGTCCGCCCTCTGTATTTCAGGTATCTTTAAATCATAAAGGGAAATTTTTGGACAGGGTTTATTTTGGTAGCTTAAAAACTAGAGAAAGAGACAGGGCGGACCTTAAAACGCAGTTATCAGAAAAGGTCTGCCCTGTGTATTTAAGATATCTTTATGTTATAAAAGGAAATTTTTGGATATGGTTTATTTTCGTAGCTTATAAATTAAAGAAAAAGACTGGGCGGACCTTAAAATGCAGTTATCAGAAAAGGTCCGCCCTGTAGATTTAAGATATCTTTATGTTATAAAGGGATTTTTTTGGACATGCTTTATTTTCGTAGCTTAAAAACTAGAAGAAGAGACAGGGCGGACCTTAAAACGCAGTTATCAGAAAAGGTCCGCCCTCTGTATTTCAGATATCTTTAAGTCATAAAGGGAAATTTTTGGACATGCTTTATTTTCGTAGCTTAAAAACTAGAGAAAGAGACAGGGCGGACCTTAAAACGCAGTTATCAGAAAAGGTCCGCCCTCTGTAGTTAAGGTATCTTTAAGTCATAAATGGAATTTTTTGGACGGGGTTTATTTTCGTAGCTTAAAAACTAGAGAAAAGGACAGGGCGGACCTTAAAACGCAGTTATCAAAAAAGGTCCGCCTTGTGTATTTAAGATATCTTTATGTCATAAAGGGAAATTTTTGGAATGCTTACGGGGGACCTTAAAACGCACCAGAAGAAAGGGCCCGCCTTTTGTTTTGAAAATAGTTTTTTAATTAAGAATAGACATTTGCTAACTTAATTTCCAACAAGTGATTACTGTATACTGATAAAAACTGGAAAACATAAGAAAATGCATCGACAAAAAAGATTGATTTATTGATCAAATGCTGCTTAATGTCCCTCTCGAGAATTTTTCACTCATATGGAGGACACCAGAGAGCTACAAATTTTGTCCTTTACTCGCACTTACGGCCATTGTGGAGGGAGGGATCTTTTTCGTGTCGGCACCTACTGCGACACGGGACCCCGTTAATACGTTTTCATCCGAAGGACCGATTTTCACGCCCCAGAAAGGGATTCAAACCTGCGACGTAAGGATCAACTCCACACTTCGACGCTCTAACCACTGCGCCACGCTGGCGACATGCACTTCATGTAATGCTATTGGTTATGAATTTCATTTCTTTTTACGGTTTAATTTGAATATACAAGCAAGGAATATACTTATAAAATCTACGTAAGATAATTCTTCCTTACACTTTTTAAACACCATCTTTAGAATTAAAAATTTAGAAATAAAATTTCAATTGCTGTAACATCATTAGCGTCGGAAGCATATTGGAGGTGGGGGGGGGGGGGGCTATTTCAAACGGAAAAAAAATGTCAAACCTCAAAAAGAAAATTGACAAGCACAAAAAAGAAAAAGGAAATTTGGGGGGTGGGTGGGTAGGTGATTTTAACTTTTTTCAGAATCAGTCCCCCCCCCCCCCGCCCAACACTACTTCTTACCATTTTTTGACTACACTGCAACGTGCCCGTTAAAAAGGGGAAAGGTTAAACCTACGCCCCAATCTTCACTGCATATTTGATATGACTGTCTTTGCAAAAAAAAAAAGTGTCCCCCCCCCTGATCCGACGCCTATGTACACTGAGAGAGTAAATTTCTTACATCGCGCCTATTATTATATATACATGTAATTCATTGTTCTATGATGCTGTGAGTTCCTTAAACATTTTTCTGATTCATGAGGTATACTAGTAGTTTGTCTTTAATTTTCTTTAATTTTTTTTTTTGTTCATTTAAACTGACAAGAAGTCAAAACTGTAATGATTTCAATTAACGATCCAGTGTATGTACATTTGCAGGGGATATGTCTTCTGTATTGTATATCTGCATACATTCTTGAATATCTGTCTGAACGCAACAAAATAAACTAATTACAAACACATTAAAAAAAATCAAAATAACCTCTTACAGTCATAGAAAAATCTAACGTTAACCAAGTAGCTACAACGAAGTTTTTGATACGTCATAATTTTAAAAGACACTTTCTATTTACTAGTTATTTTTTTAAAAAAATGTATGCGTGTGGAGTTTCTCTCTAATAAGTATTGGTTGAAAAAATTCTCCCTATAGCTAGTAAAACAGTGGAAAGGGAGAAAAAAATCCGTACTGAAGCGGTATTTCTCTGGTGGAAAATCAAGTCGGGGTTGTTTCTTAGATGCTAACGGGAAATTCTAGTATGCAAGGCTTCTGAAATTGGGGGTGTCTTTGAAATCAAGCTCTTTTTTTTTCTGGAAAAAATGTGGGATATATATGTACAATATCAGTATTCTTAATACTTTAAATTTTTTTGACATGTATCAGCGTGAGTTTACTACGCCCAATTACATGTACTACTCCCCCCTCCCTGCTTAAAAAAAAAAAAAAAAAAACATTTAGGAGGGGGCGAATAAAATGTTCGGATTTTTATTGAAACCGAGAGACATAACTTAAAGGATAAATATATTATTAATGCAGTGCACAGAGACTTTGCTTAACTGTCATAGAAACTTAATTGATTTTTACCCTGGAGCAGATGTAGGTATTGTGAACTTTCTTATAACTAGACATAATATTGCATACAGACTGTATGTAATGATTAGATTCGAAAAAATGTTATTTGAAATAAATATTATTATATAATACATATTTACAATTTCCATCTTTGTTATAAATGTTAACCTTTAATTGCCATAAAGGTATCTTTAAAAAAAAATCCGAAAATATGAAAAAAATAAATAAATAATGTCGGAAATGAAAATAGAAAATGTCGGATTCCGAAATAATAACAAAAATTGTCGGAAAAAGTAATGCAAAACTCAGGAAATGAAATGCAGAGATCTAGTAGATATAACAATTAGCCTTTGAATAGGTGAAAAACAGTGTTAGCTTATAAAAACACAAGGGATATGCTACTTTAGGTTTTCTCAAACGAGACATTTATTGGCTAACCTCCAACTGCCCAATCCGCAGGCATGTTGTTTTTACAATAACGGGTGTAGGGTAGTACACCGTGACATAAGCCCCTGTCACAGTGACCCTCCAGTTATTGACAACAATATTAAACGTAAAGAATGACAGATTTTTTTATTAATACTATAAAGAAATAGAGTTTGAAAGATGTGATTTTTTTGCGAGTGGAAGTCGGACGTTTATCATGTTTATTGGAAAGAGAGTATAACTAAATGATCCGTGTTGGACTTACATACATTCTTCTGTTCATTGCATACTGATTAATCTGCCAGTAAACAGGCTGTGAAGGTAAATGTAATATGTACATTGCATTATTAATATTTTTTTAATGATAATGTTGACATTAGTGTATTTAAACGACAAAATAAGCATGCCCCATCTTCCCGACAGGTAACTCGATCAATAAATTTATACATTCCTTTACTTATATATTAATTTCTTACTTGTTTAACACATTCTCTTGGAGGAAACACTAGCTATTAATACGACTTTATGTCCTCAATTGAATTTAAAACAATTTCAATTAATATCGTATGAACACAGGCATACAATTTATATAATAGGCCGAGGGCGGACCTTTTCTTATAGAGCCAGGCGGACCTAATATGTTATCGTATTAGGTCCGGCCGGACCTTAAAACGAGGCGGACCAAATATTATGCGACACCGGTCAGTGGCTTCAATATAAGCGAAATTTCAATATAGCCGATTTCAATATAACCGTTATTTTAATGCAAAGAATATGAGAGTCAAAAACAGGGGATTTATTTTTATTTCAATATAAGCGGAATTTCAAAATAAGCGAGTTCAATATAAGTGGAGTAAGCTGTGTATCTACAATGTAGGTATTACGTGGAATTAATATTGCAGAAAGAGTTGTTATAAGTTCTAAACATACATGATTTAAAATAAACACTGCGTTACCCAATTCATATTTATTGTCAGGAGTCTTTATATATTTTTTTCAAATGTTGTCTTTACATTTATAGTAAGGTCTAGATAATTTAATCGAAAACTTGCATTATAGACTCAAAACGTGAACAAGATAGATTGATAAATGGACCGATTCATGGTATCCCTAACAAAAATACTGTAGGTTAACTATAGTTTACTATACATGTAGTTAAATATAGTGATAACTCTTGACACCATGAATTAAAACTTCGATTCACTATAGTGATACATGTAACTCTGACACTAAATTTAATTTAACTAGAGGCACTGTGAGCAATGAGCTCACTAAATGATACCCCCCCGCCTCCCATAATGTCCATGTGTTGCTATATATTGTTTGAGGTATGAGGTATAGGCCCCTAACTCGTCCTATCAAATGTTATCCAGAAGCTTCTATTATGTGACTTCATTGGTAAACATTTATAATGACAATGTCCATGTTTTGCTATGGGAAACCTAAAATACACTGTATACAAAGTGCTATTCGAAAATCTACTTGATTTGGATCACTAGCTATATTGCTTTGGGTACTCTGATGCATTATGGGTAAAAAAGAAAATTCTGCAGGCAAAAAATGGGTAAAAGTAACTTTCAGAAATTAGAAAACTTATTAAACCTTTGCAGAATCAATGTAAATTTATTTGAGGAAATTTTTAAGTTGAAACATGTTAGAAATTCGGTACCGTTCTCTTTTACTAAGTTAAAATGCTATTTTCACTCATTTTGAATTATTTCAATTGTTCTTAATTTTTTTCAAAGTATATTCTGTTGTAAAAGTTATTGTATATATTATTATAAGTTTTCTCCTCAATTCACCCACGAAACATCATCTGATTTCTATACATTACGCTTTTTTGAGAAAATGAGCTATTCTTGTTTTGAGTCAATGCTATTATATGTTTGCAGCATATTTTTGCGATTGCTATACTTTTTTCAGATCCTTTTTGTGATTTGCATGAAATCAAGATTTATTGATTTTTGATAAAATTATTGCGATTTTAACAGTTTTGAAAACATATTGGCATTCAAAATCACAAGAGAACCATTTATCAGTCAAAAGAAGTTAAACAGAAATAAATATTTATAGAATTTGATGAAATGTGTAATAATTGCTGGTGTTTGTGCTATACTTGATTTGCATTTTGTCGCGATTGATACAGAAATGCTATGTTTGATTTGCCTAGAATACTTCTTGAAGAATGGTGGCGTATATCAGGAGGGGGGGGGGTTAATCCAAAGACACTTTCTCAAATTTATGTCATTGAATAACTTACAATGTTTTGATAAATACACGTTATATATTTTCACTAATGTTTTAAAGGTATATAAAAAGGAAAATAAAGGCTTCACAAACTACTAGTATTCTGACTCTCTCCAAAGCTCATGAGACTGAATGCGTTAAGCACTATACGCTACGGTGTCTTGATGATTGTGTGTCAGTTTGCTTTAAAAAAATGAATTGTTGAGACAAAAAATATTTTTCCACCTATCATTTAATCCTGGTTCGTTTTTTTTTTTGGCTTGCTTTTTTTCACCCAACTGTTAGACCTTTGTTTTTATACTGAATTTGATCAAGACATGCTCCGTTTACTTGATCAATACATAGGACTCACAGCGAGTGTGACCGATCAACAAGGGATACTTACTCCTCCTAGGCACCTGTTCCCATTTCTGGTATTCCGGGAGTCCGTATTTATGCCCTACTCACATATTTGTATTGTTTGTAAATTTTTCGACATAAATCAATGCTCATTATCCTCACTTTTTTTTACATTCCAGAAATATTCGACTTTTAAATAGAATGGGTTCAGACTCCATTTAGAAAAAAAGAACACAGTGGGTTTACTTTTCCGTAATATAAGCACAAAACTTATGAAAGAAACCTGACCCATTCATATTCAGAAATAAATTCTTATGGCTTGAATCATTTAATATAAATGGGTACCCATTTTCCACTTAGTAAGTTTAAAAAACAATTTTCAATCTACATGTCTTTAGTACAATACTATTATATGAATTTAATATGTTGAAGATGATATTATCGACAACATAATTGTAGAAAAATCAAACTTTTCCGTCATAGAGCGGGTGATTGTCCTCGCCTTATACCACCGTGTCAAACCGTTACTTTGAGGGAGTCGCGAAAAAGAACGAGGGAGTCGCTTTTTACGCCAGGGGGAGTCGATTTTCTTCGCTTGAAAAACTGCCGAAAGGTAGGTCACGGTGTTTTGTTGCATTTAGAAATAGTTTTTGCACAAATACTACTAGTATATCGCACGGAACAATACGATAACTAAGGTACATGTACATCAGAAGTTTACCAGTCTTAACCATCTAGTATGCTCAAACACTTCGGATCTTTTTTCAGTATTCACAAATTTTACTTTGACTATGACAAAAAATATGCATTAATGAATATTTATGCAATATAACCAGGTTGTAGGTGATCTAAATGTTTTATTATTTGATAATCTTTATTGTTTGACAATTTGAATTTGGAAAATAATCGTTTAAGGAATGTACGGAGGCGATTTCTAATTTCAGTGCAAAGGTAACGGAGGGGGGAGTCGATTTCTGTTCATGATTAAGAAGGAGGGGGGGGGGGTCGCAAAGTAATCTAAATAATGAATTTTGGCAATCAATGTTGTCGAAATAAGCATTTTGAATGTTGAAAGTGTCATATTTTATTGTCAACTTCATTCTTTGAACGTTTTATTCTGAATTTTTAGAAATGACAAAAAAGAAATCATCCTTTTAACTCCATCAACCTAAAAAAATATATCACAGTCTGAGCCAGTCTATTCGATTTCTGCACATATGTTAATGAGCACCACTCTCTACAAAGTCCTGCAAAGAGAAAGACAAATTGACGTTTAATTTGTACAAAATAAATAGGCCAAAATTATTCTCTAACTCAATGTTTAAAAAACTTTTATCATTTTGTTTTAGGATACAAAATTTCTCTTTAGATGTAATACTAGTATCAAAGAAATTTAACCACACCCTTTTTGCCCACATAGATTGAAATATGAACTATCAGACCTCCTGTAAAAGATTGTGAGGTTGTGAAATTAGACATTTTGAATAAAGAATGTGCATTATTTAAATAAAAGGATTACCATCCAGGCACGTAGCATCGTTTTTGAAAGTGGGCGGGCCAACCAGAGAAAATTTTTTTTACTTACCTGAAGAAGTTGACAAGCAAAAAAAAATTAAAAGTTGCCCAAACTCGAAAATCCTATTTCGTGGGGGGGGGGGGGGGGCAACTTTTTAAAAGCAAATTTACTTCACTTCCAGTATTTTGCTACAATTCCTTGATATCATTATACTATGGTAAAAAGTGGGGGCGCCAACCATACTTTCAATGAATATTTTCTATAGTAAAGGTAATGTTGGGGGAAAAGTGGGAGGGGGGGGGGCAGCCGTCCCTGCCATCAATCTATTACAAATGTGTGTGATGCTGTTTCTAAAGGCAACCTTTGGTACAATGATTCAGTACAGGAGGTCCATGGGCCACATCGCTCACCAGAGCATTGTGGCTAGGAACAAACTTGAATCTATACTACCTGATATACTACCTGATATATGCTGCCATATAAATATGAGAAATTATGGCTCTGCAAAAATTTTTTAAAGAATGTTCTTATATATTTGTATGTAAAACTTTGATCGGCCATTTTGGGCCCGCCCTACCCCCGTGGGTCATGATTTGAACAAACTTGAATCGACACAACCTGAGGATGCTTCCATATTAAATATGATCAATTATGAATTCGCTTTTTTCGAGAAGAAGATTTTTAAAGAATTTTCTTACATATTTCTATGTAGAACTTTGATCAATAAGGCGCAAAAATGTTTAAACTTTATTTGCTATATGCCTTTATCGTATTTGAAGAGTTTCTCAGAAGCTTTTGAAAAAAGGTCTTCAGATACTGTTTTTTTAATTTTCAACCTGTGTTTGGATACCTATGTCAGCTGTACATATATCATAATACTCGATTTCGCTGAATTGTTGTATATCAGAAAATTTGTCAACCCGTTGTCTTTTGGGAGTTCTTTTCAAAGGGGAAGGTGACCCTCTTGTCTGGTTGCACTGAAAAACTCTATGAACTTTCAGCTTTTTTGGTGTTGGAGATTTTGAATAACAAGGAGTATTTGAGGGGGTGTTTAATATATCAGCTGTCCATTTCCATTTGTACGGACTACTGGTATTTTGTATTTTCCCTTTTTGTTAGGTTGATGGAGCCATAAGGATGATTTCTTTTTTGTCATTTCTAAAAATTCAGAATAATTACGTTCAAAGATATTGACAATAAAATATGACATTTTCAACATTCAAAATGCTCATTTTGACAACATTGATTGCCAAAATTCATTATTTAGATTACTTTGCGACTCCCCCTTTCTTAATCATGAACAGAAATCGACTCCCCCTTCCGTTACCTTTGCACTGAAATTAGAAATCGCCTCCGTACATTCCTTAAAGGATCATTTTCCAAATTCAAATTGTCAAACAATAAAGATTATCAAATAATAAAACATTTAGATCACCTAAAGCCGAAGGCCTTCTCAGAAGATTTGATCACGTACCGACCCACTTCAATTCCCATTGAAGTTTATAAACTTGTTATTTATTACTTATATATACATTTGAGACATACAATTTAATATTTTCGAATTAAATTATTGCACTTACCGTCCGTCGTAGATTTTGAAAAATGACGCAAGGTGTAAATCGGCTTGAATGGCGGTTACGCTTCGAATTCACCAGCATTGACCAGGCTAAGAATATTTTATTTCTAAGGGAATATTTTGTGAAAAACTACTTTTGATCAGAAATAGTGAACAGATTGTTGTCTGGGAATATTTTTATTCGTGAAAATGATAGTCGATGCTGAAAAGACACAAGAAACACGTCCGAAGTTTGATGATAAAAAGTTGGAGG